GTTGGATGCCCAAGGCCAAGCACCAGGGCCTGGCATGTAGTAGGAGCTCAAGGTACACTGTTGGATGAGTGAGTGAGTAAACGAGGTGAAGTCCCAGCATCCCAGCCAGAGCCTGGCACTGTGTGGGCCCTGGACGTCAGAGAGGTGTCCGCCCACATTAAGCAAGAGTTTCTCTCAGTCAGTCTGCTCACCCCTGGTGAGCTGTATGGATTGCGACACCCTCAAGTTCATCCTCCTGGCTCTTCAAAGCCCAGGATGGAGACAGAGGTGAAGCCCCAGCAAGAGGAAACCTGCACTCCTGGGCCTTGGCACATGCCAATCCTCACCCCTGACCTCACTCCTGCTCGTGTGCAGACAATGTCAAGTTCAAGACCTTCGCCAACTCGTGCTCTCTTTTCCTGAGCATGCCACCTCCTCACATATCATCTTGCCAGGTTAATTGGAGGGGGCCTTCTTCCTTACCAGACCCAAGTTTTGTTTCTGTGGCCCTAACTTTGCACCCAGTGTGAGGAATGCAGCAGGGACCACACCAAACAGGGGCACCCAGGGAGAGCCCTCTGAACAGGAACCCTTCCACCCATGGGATGCAGGGTGAGCGGGAATCTGCCTTATGAGAAGGGAGTGAAAGGGAACTCATTCCAGGCAAGGGGAATTACAAAGTCAACACCCTGGAGGTGGAAATGAAGTTGGCTAATTGTAGTGACGGAAGATCAGAGAGACTGGAGACTAAAGGGCACAGGGAAGGGCAGGAGGATTGAGTTAGAGGGATGGGCAGGGGCCAGACTGTAAGTCTCATGGGCCACAGAAAAGGGTAGGTTTCCTAAGTGCAGGGGTGGTTATTGGAGATGGGGTTAGATTTAGGCCTGTGAAGACTCTGTAAAAGATTCTGGCTAGAGGAGAGGCAGGGTGGAGGCTGGTGCAGAAGTCAGTGCCAGGCAGGAGGTGATGGGACTCAGATCGGGTTTAGCAGGGCACAGTGGAAGGACTTGGGATGTATCAATACCTTGGTCCTGGAGAAGACTCTTGAGAGTCCCTTGGACAGCAAGAAGATCAAACCAGTCAATCCTAAAGGAGATAAACCCTGAATATTCATTAGAAGGACTGATGTTGATGCTGAAGCTCCAATACTTTGGCCACCTGATGCGAAGAGCTGACTCACTGAAAAAGTGACTCACTGACTCACTTTCCCTGATGCTGGGAAAGACTGAAGGCAGGAGGAGACGGGGGCAACAGAGGACTAGATGGTTGGATGGCATCACCAACTCAAAAGGACATGAGTCTGAGCAAACTCGGGGAGATAGAGAAGGACAGAGGAGCCTGGCGTGCTGCAGTCCATGGGGTCACAAAGAGTCAGACACGACTCAGTGACTGAACAACAATACTTTGGAGACAGACACACCAGTAGTCAATGGGACGAGCTGGATAACAGCCAGGAGAGGGGGCACAGGAGCAGGTGAGGGAAGAGAGGAATGGAGGATGACTCCTGGGCTTTTGGAAAGTGAAGGAGGCAAGGCTGAGAAGGGGAGGCGGGAGAGGAGCAGGTTGGACTAGGCTGGGTGGTGGGAGCGAGAGCTCAGTGTGGGACATGTTAAGTTTGCAACACGCATTAGTCATCCAGGGGAGATGCCAGGTATGGCTGTATCTGCAGCTTGCCAGCTGGGTGGAGATGGGATTCCACTCCTCGTTCACTCCCAGCACCCCAGCCAGAGGCTGGCACCGTCTAGGCACCAGACAAAGGCTGGTTGAGAAGGACTGAAGCCAGACTGAAAAGGCAAGTTGACAATCGACCTTCCCTCAACCACCAGAGGGCAGCACCATCCAAAACACAGCCTCCCCAGGCCAAGGCTTCCAGGAGCTGCTTTCCAGGGTCCCAGGAATCGGCGAGGAGAGGGCCCTGGAGGCTCTCTCTCTCTCAATCCTCGCTTCAGGCCTGCCTGGGTTGCATGTTGGGCAGTGGGTGGGAAGGGCTTTCTGGGTCTGCAGGTGGTGTGGAGGAGGTTGGGCCTCCTCTGGGAGCAGGATGGGGGGCTTTCAGAATTCACAGGGGCTCTGGCCTGAGTTCACTGGACAGAAGTTTTAAAACAGGAGCTGTTCCAGAAATCCCAGGCCAGTGAGTGACTGTAGTTAGAGTCCTGAAGAGTTTCGGAGAGGCAGGAGGAGAGGAAGTCGGAGGCCTTCTGTCACATCCTCCTATTACTCTGGCCATCTTCTCCCGCAGACACCATGTGCCACCTTGGGCTGTGGGGCTCGTTCACTGAGTCACTCATTCATTCATCAAATGTTGACTATATCTTTCTGTGTCAGGTCTCATGGTGGGCTCTGGGGGGCCTTGGTTTCAGTGAGAGGAGGTGTGAACATCAGGAGGCATTTTCCAGTGGATGCGAACATTGAATAAAGCTTCATGGATTGATTCAGTGGACCTGAGTTTTGAGCAAGCTCCAAGAGATGCTGAAGGACAGGGAATCCTGGCGTGCTGCAGTCCATGTGGTCGCAAGAGTTGGACATGACTGAGCAACTGGACAACAACATACACACACATTCCCCCCCCGTCAAAAACTTGAAATGACATGCATCTTGCAATTGATGATGTTTTCAAATCAAGGAAACAGGTACTAAGTGCAGAACTGGAGATGTACACAATTGGGAGCAAGGGGATCGGGGAGGGTGGCCTGGAGAAGGTGGGTCTTAAAGAATGAGCAGGAGTTAGCCAGGGAAGAGGACACACAGAGTGCTTCGAGACAGCGGGAGGAGCAAAGGCCCAGGGGTAAGAGCTGATGGACAGGCTGCTGCGGGTGTACCTCGGGCTTAGGGGATGATGGCAACACTGGCCTGAGGGGAGCAGGACTCAGTCATCCAAGACTTTGACTTGCAGGTTAAGGAACTTGCTCACGTGATTTGCTTTCGGCAGAGTCGGGTGGGGGCCTGGAGTCCCCTCTGAATTCCCCACTCTCAGCATCCCCAGAAGGCCTGGAGCACTGCTTCTCAGTGCTAAGTAGACAGTAAATCTATCAGATCAAGATTCAAGAGAGGCATCTCTGGTCAGGGCCTGTATTAGGGCAGGAGCCCTGGGGATCCTCAGAAGCGGACAGGTTTAAGAAGATTCTCAGGAGGCCAGGTGAGAGGGTATGGTGATAGATTAGGGCATAGGGAGACAGAGGAGTCAAGGGTAATGCCTGGAGTTCTGGCTGAGTGTCTGGGTGGATGGTGGTGTCACCCGCTGAGAAGGGGACCTCACCATCCTGACTGATGCGCTCTGGTTCCAGGCTCTGCCGAGGCTGATCTCAGAAGGTAGCCTGAGGAGTGCGCATGACAATGGTGGTGGAGAATCCTAGACTTTGCAAAAAGGTCCTGGTTACTGACCCACAAACTGGCATGAGGCTTTGGTTCCATGTGCCCAGGACTGGGAGGGAATCTTGTCACCTTGGAAAACAGAGAGGCTCTTAAGAGCAGCGCACTGAGATGGGGTGCTGCTTTGTGATACATGGATCCCCTCCACCTCCACCATGCAGTCTCATCAGAGTAAATTTCCCTTGCCAGGCAGTCCAGTGACCCCCATGACCCGCCCCCCCTCCAAGGCTGAGAGAAGTTGGATCCCGCTTTCTGGAATCATGATAATTCTGACCCAGGGAGGGGGCTTTTGGTGCATGGTCCTCAGTCTTGAGTGGGAGTCCTGGGGCCTGGAGTAGGAGTGGGGATTGGGACTGGGGTAAGTCTGGAGTCTGATGGCAGTCATCAGGTCCCAGGTTCATGACGACCCATTAAGGGCTCATTTGAGTCCTTGTTGGATGTCTTGGTCCTGGGTCTGTGTCCCAAATTTTTGGGTTCAGAACCCTGGTCTGGGACTGATGGTCCAAGCCCAGGCCTAGGCTCTGTCCCCAAGTCCAGGGTTTGGAGTCATGATAGTGGTCTGAATCTGGGGGTGGAATCAAGGTCGGGCTCAGCAACCAAGCTGGGATCAAGGTCATGGTCTGTGGTTGGGATCAGTGTTTGAGGTCGTGGCCCCAAACCTGGATCTGGGGTTCTGTTAAGGGTCAGGGGTCAGCATCAGGGTCTGGGTGTGAAGGGGATTGGTGGTACAGAATGGTGACCTGAGGTCATGGTGTCTGAGGGGGTGGTCTAAGGTCTAGTTCTGAGGCTCCTGTTTGGAATCTGGGGTCAGGAATGTGATCGGGTCTGGTGTCAGGTTTCCAACTGTGTCCAAGGTCAGGGGTCAGGGGTGATAGCTAAAGTCTGAGATCCATGTCCCTGGGAACACATTCTGCAGTGCCAAGTCTGGGGTTCCGGCTATGGTCTGTCGTGGCCCCTGGGATCACATTCTGCAGTGCCAAGTCTAGGGTCCGGGCCGTGGTCCATCGTGGCCCCTGGGGTCACATTCTGCAATGCCAAGTCTGGGGTCCGGGCCGTGGTCTATCATGGCCCCTGGGGTCACATTCTGCGATGCCAGTGTGGGGTCCCGGCCATGGTCTATCGTGGCGTCTGGGAGCCGAATTGTGCCCCGAGTCGTGGTCAACGTCTGGGTCTAGGGTCTTCTGCGGGCGAGGGTCCCTGTCGTGTCCCAGGTCAGGGGACAGGTCACGGCCGGTGGGGGCCGTGGGCGGAGAGTCGAGGCCGGGGTGGCCTCGGGGGTCAGGCTCGGTCCAGCCCCGCGGCCTCCAGGGGGCGCCGCCGCCCGCCCGGCCGGCCCCTCGCGGGCTCGCTGGCGCTGTGCGCGGCAGGCGGGGCCGGAGGCGGCGGCGGCGGCTCCGGGGCGCGGGCGGCGGCGGGCGGCGGCGGCCCGACTGCAGTCCCGGCGGGAGCCGAGCGAGCCGGGGCCGGGCCCGAGCCGGCGCCATGGGGCGGCGCCGCCTGTGAGCCGCGCCGAGCGGAGCCGCGGGCGCCGAGCGGGGCCGGGCGGGCGGCGGCGCCCGAGGCCGAAGGAGCGGCCGGGCCGGGCCGAGCGCGCCGAGCGGAGCGGAGCGGAGCGGAGCCGAGCGGCGGGAGAGGCCGCCGCCGCCGCCAAGATGGCGGACCTGGAGGCGGTGCTGGCCGACGTGAGCTACCTGATGGCCATGGAGAAGAGCAAGGCCACGCCGGCGGCGCGCGCCAGCAAGAAGATCCTGCTGCCCGAGCCCAGGTGAGGCGGGCGCCGCAGTCCCGCGCCCCGGCCGCCCGGGCACTGGCCCCGCGATCCCCTCAGCCCCCCTCAGCGCCCGGCGTCCGGCAGCCCTGCCCGGCCCCCGGCCCTGTGCACTGAACACCCGGGGCGCCCCAGCGCGGGGGCTTTCCGGCTGCGCGGGCTCCCCGACCCGCCCGCTGCCCCCGGGCCGGCTCTGCCTGCCTCCCTTTGGCTTCACACACTCCGCCTGGCCCCTTTCTCCGTCAGCCCGCCTCGCTCTTGCCTTCTCCCCCGGGGACGCCGTGCACCCCCTTCATCCTCCTCTGGATAGCCCAGGGTCCCCCGCTTCCCACCGTGGAGTCCCCCACCTCTGCCTGCTCATCTCCCGGGGCCCGACTGTGTCGTCCATCCTGTCGCTGACCCGACTCCCAGCACCACCCTCTTTGGGGTTCCACCGGCCCCCACCGTGGCCCCCTCGGGTGGACCCTTCGTGAGGTTGGGGGCAGACGAGTCTTCCGGGGATCTTCCCCGGTCTTCGGCGGGTCACTGGCTTGGGGTGGGAATGGAGAGTACTCTGGGGGCTGGGGGAGCGGTGGGGAGCGGGGTCCGGTGTGTGCCCCGTGGCTCTGTCCCTCTCCCCTGGAATTCCGCCTCTGGTGAGAATCCTGCCTGTGCAACCCGGGGGTGCTGCTTGCCAGGGGATGTCCCAGCACGCCTGCAGCAGCTGGATCACAGCTGCCCCCTCTCTGGGAGATAACTGACCTGATACCCAAGTTTCACCTGCTCAGGGTTTAGGCGCAGGAGTGGACAGCGTAGGGACAGTAGCTGAGGCTGTCCAGCATGTTATGGCTTCGAGAGTATTTTCCCATCCCTTGAGCCTCGCAACAACCCAGGGGGCCGGTCGGTCAGGTGTGGTTTTGTCTCCGTGGATCAGATAGGGAAGCTGAAGGCCCAGACATGAGGGGCCTGCCCAGTGTCACAGGTAAGCCAGGGCGGTGCTGGGCCACCAGAATCAGGGCTTCTGGCTTGTGGTTCCACGTTGGGTCCACCACTCTAACCTGAGCCTGGGTCTGGCCATTCTGCCTAAAGAGCCATATGCCCTGCCAGCCAGGACCCTGGACCCTTCCTAGCTGTCTTGGTCTTATCATGTGACTTTGGGCAAGTCCCTTCCCATTTCTGGGCCTCAGTTTTCTCATCTGTGAAATGTGGACGGTGTGAAATAACGGCTGTGACTCTGGCATCCTGAGTGAAGCGGGGCCCAAATGGCCTCGGGGGGTGGGTACCATGCCGACATCTCCAGTGCTTTCTCCTGCCCGTTCACTGGGTTTCGGATTGACTGAACACCAGGCCGGGGAGAGGAAAACTGGTCTGCGTTTTGCAAAGGCCGTTAGGGCCGTTTTTTTCTCAGACATTTGCAATCAGATTTCTCAAAACAGGAACCAGACTGACTGCCAGCCCGGGGCTGTCCGGGGAGCAGCGACAGTTAGAACAAAAATGAGTTCAGAAATGACAAAGCCACGAGGGAGGAAATGGGGGAGTTGGCCTCTGGGGCGCACAAGCAGCTCTCCGTGGTGGCCGTGGCCTAGAGACCCTCCAGCAGGTTGGACTTTTGCAAAGAGTGAGGCGGGGCTTTTTCTGGAACTCTCTGCGTTTGGGTAATCTCGCCCCAGAATGCATTGCTGGCGGTGGGGCCCCGCCTCGGGTTGGCTCTGCAGGTGTTAGAACCCTGAGAAAGAAGACGTTCCTCTTTTTCTGTCCCTGTCACACCCTTGATATCGACGGCGCTGAAAGGAGTAGTGGTGGAAGTCATGATAATTTATTTATTTCTCTCATCTGTCATCTCAGCTGATCCGAAAAACCACCCCGCGAGGTTGGCAAGGCCGTGCCTTTCATGTAGTAGTTGCTCAAGAAATAGAAGGACCACGTGGTGTCTGAAAGCAGGGGGACTGTGAGATTGAGGGGAGCAGCAGGAGGCCGAGAGCCAGGGGCCAGGGGTCCTCAGGTAGGGTCACCACCTGGCGGCACGACCTCGGGCAGATGGCCGGCACCTGTGAGGTGCACTGGATGCACTCGAGGCCCTTGCCGTGAGCTGAGGCTGGGCAGGGGCCTCGGAATCCACACCTTCCACCTCGGAGGGGATGCTGCCCATTGCCTTATGCTCTGCACAGCCCCTGGGTCTGATGCCTATTGCCCTGAAGATTGTTATGACTGTATCTTACAGTTGCCAGTTTGCAAAGTGCTTTGTACCCCGTTTTATCCTTTTCACAACTGTAGGAAACGGGCATGGCAGCTGGTATTTTCCCACTTAATGAGTCGAAGCACCTGAGGCTTGGAGAGGGGAAGAGACTTGGTCACAGAGGCGAAGCGGTGTTTGAATCTGGGGTCTCCGGGCCCCCAGGAGCTCTTTGCCCGCTGTGCTTCCTGTCTCCCACACGCCCTTGCGGACCTGCGCGCACCCTGCTCCTTCTCTTGAGGAATGTTTGCCAGCTGGCCCCCCATGCCCAGGGAGCCATAGGTCTGGGGGGAGGGTGGCCTGGAAGCCCCAGGGCAGACCCCACGCCTTCAGCTGTCTCGATTCACAGGGCCCAGCCCCCTCCCCGCCCGGGGTCACATCTTCCCCTCGGCCACGACATCGGGGTCAGGGAGGAGGGCCATGGCTTGCGTAGGACAAGGTGCCATTTGGAGCCATTCCCACCTTGGGGTGGTCCATCTTGGCAGCCTCCCTGTGGCTGGTGCCTGGGTTGTGGCTTGGCTGGGAGCTGGGCTGGCTCACAGCTCTGACTTCTTGGGGCTGGGGAACAGGAGCTGTTGGGCACAGGGCCACTTTGAGTTGGCACAGGGGCCTCCCCTTCTGTCACTCTATAGAATCCAAAGGAGACAGACTCATTTCTCGCCCTCTGGCAGAGGGAGGCAGCTGTGTGGCAGGAGTCTGGAGACCTGGCTTGCAATCTCGCTGCAGTGCCAGCTCACCTGGGCCCTAGGGACACCCCTTATCCTGGCCGAGCCTGCCTCAGTTTCCACCTTGGTCCAGCGAGGGGGCTGCCCTTGACTGATGGACCCCCCGCCACACACACACCCCGCCATGCTCCTTCTGCTCCGGGGTCTGTGGTCAATGCCGCTCTCCAGAGAAGCTGCTGTCTGTCTTTCCCAGCAGCGGCCGCGGTCCCATAATGATCGTCGTTTGCTTAATATGACCATGGAGGCCTCGTGTAATTAATCTCTGGGCTCCTGGCGGGGGAGTCCGGCCTGGGCGGTCCCGGGAGATGCCCAGCCCTCCCTGGTGACTGCGGCAGCCCCAGTGGCAGATGTCAGAGCCGGGTGCCTCTTGCAGCCGGGTGCTTCTCTTGCCTCTTTCTTTCCCGGTCCCTCCCCCCGCCATGAATTTCCTCCTTCCTGCCCTTTTCTGGCTTCCCTGTCTCCCAGACCCGCCGCTCTTCCTCCGCTGCTTCTTCGTTCCTGTTAACTCTTTGCTCCCAGGACTTCCTGCCCTTGGTCTGCGGAGGGAAGAAGCGCAGGCGGTGGTTTTCTTGCTTCCTCCTCCCTCCGCTTCTCCATCACCAGCAGAAACCCTGCTGGCTTTTATCCCTTACCCAGAACGTTCCGCTCCAGTAGCATCATTTTCCCACCCTATCCCTCCGCCTCCCACCGTCCCCCGCCTCCAAAAACAAGATTATCTTTTAGGGTACTCATCCCCTCCGGGTCTTCGAAGCTCCCTCCCACCCCCGCTCTCCCCAGGAGTGGGTCTCCAGGACCTCTTTCCCCATCTGTTCTCCTTTCCAGATCATGGGGTTTCGCATTTTTGTCATTAAGTTGCTCGCCTGCCCGCCGTTCTTTCAGTAAATGGATTCGAAGGGAGCATGAGCTTGACAGGTTAGAATCCGTGCCGGGGAATCTGGGCTCTGTCAAGCCAGGAATAACGTGCCCTATTAATGCACGATCAGTCCTTAGTAGTAAACTCCCGGTGACGTCAGGTGTAGGCACAGTCTGGGGCGGCGTTTCCTGCCCGCCGCGGGCACCTGGGGAGGCTGTGCAGAGGGGCCGGGCTGTGTGCACACAGCTGGAGCCTCCAGGATATTATGTTCCTGCCTTGGAACAGACAGCAGAAGCCACGAGGACCGGAGAGCCTTTGAAGAACACAGCATCCATCACACCTGCCCTTATTTTTTTTTTTGGCTGCACCGGGTCTTAGTTGGCACATAAGGAATCTTTGTGGCTGCATGTGGGATCTAGTTCCCTGACCAGGGATCAAATCTGGGCCCCCCTGCGTTGAGAGCACAGAATCTCAACCGCTGGGCCATCAGGGAAGTCCCACACCTGCCCTTCTTTTTTCCCTGTGGCCCCAAGGGACCAATGTCCTCTGCTGATCACAGAAGACAGAGTTATACCCAAGTCATCCTTCATCTGTTTCAAACAGAAGATACTAAAAAATGAGGCGTTGGGCTGCAGACTTTTCTAAGACAGTAACCTGCCCTCTGCATCGCTGTTAACAGGCAGGGTAGTGTCTTGATTGGCTGAAGAGCACGGTTTCCGAAGTGGGTTTTCTGTTGCTGACGTGTCCGCTGCTCTGTTCTCTGAGCAGGGAGGCCATTCTGGGTTTGGGGTTCCGGATAGCTCTCTTCCTGGGAGTGCAGGGCAGGGAGCCCTGCAAGTTGTTCCAGGTTTGTTCTCACGGGACAAGAGCAGTGAGCGGCAGGCTGCGACAAGGCCACTGGAGTGTCTTTTCCCGCAAGCCATCACTTTGTGGCTGCCATGCCTCGGTGGGTGCGGTGCCCCGAGGTGTCACTTCTCTTCTCCGGCCCCGGACTTGCTCCAGAGCTGGCCGATTCAGTCGTTCTTTCCCATTTGGTATGGGTCCTTCCTCGAGCTCTGAGGATGTTGTTAGCCCCAAGGAGAGCCATTGAGAAATATTCATCAGAAGCCCCTGAGGACTTCCTCATACCTCTTGGCACTGTGGTGCCAGGTTTCCTGGAAATGCCCCAGAGGAGTGCCCCAGCCGTGGTGACAGCCTCTGGCCTGCTGGCTTGCCAGCCGTCTCTCCCAGAGCGTGTCGCTTCCTGGCGTGGCTGCCCCCGAGTGCAGAGCCCCCGGGCCATCTTGCCCCGTGGCTCTAGCATCTTGTCACCCAGGAGCACAGGAACCACAGCCACTGGCCCTGCCACGTGCCAGCTGGGGCTGCCCCAGCCTGATCGGCACCCACAGCCAGGATACAAGTCCGGGGTCCCCTGGGACCCTGCACCCAGCTCTCCCAAAGAGGCCCTTTCTTGGGAGGGGGGGGCTGGACATTTTCTTGCCACTGGCTTGGTTGGGACTCAGGGTGTGCTGCTTCTCAGCTTCTTCTGGCCTCGATTTCCTCACCATCAAGATGAGCGTGTTTGCTCTCAACCCTGAGGTCCCACCCCATCCACACAGGCTGCGGTCTCTGACCCTGAGGGGGTGTATCTGGGAGGCCACCGTGCCACAGAGCCAGGGACTTAGCTTTCCCCTTGAACCATGTGGCGCCAGAAGGTGCCGGAAGCTCTCCCCCTCAGCCCTCACCCTGCCGCCCCATCACCCCAGCCCGCGCTGGGGTGGCGGGCCGGAAGTGCTGTCTCCCTGGCCGCCAGGCAGCTCTCACCAGGGGGCCTTTGCTCCTGGCAGGGCAGGTATTGGGCTCTGCCCACGGGGCGCCCCAGGCCAGTCTGTGAGCAGAATGGAGTTCCAGCACTTCGGGCTCGGGGACATGCTCACGGGCCCTGCCCTGGGGAAGGGTCCAGTCATAGCCCCACTCTCTGAGGACATGGCAGGTGTGATCAGATTCTAGAAGGGGGGCTCCCTCCAGGAGAAGGCAGCCCAACACGACAGGCTGCGTTCTTCTATCGCCGTGTCCCCTCCGCCTTTCTCAGCGGTCAGCTCAGTGTTGGCGATTCAGCATTTGTTGACATCCTCATTTTACAATGGGGAAGCTGGACATTTAAAGTCTGTAACTTGGCCTGGCCTCTGGGAGGGAGGAGGGAAGAGCCGCTTGGAGCCCAAGCCTGGACACCAGGCAACTGTGGGAACCAGGTCGGCCGAGCCCCTTCCCCCGAGAGGCTGGGAGCCAGAGGGTCCTTCGGGGGCAGGGACGGAGGAACGATGCAGGCATGGGGCTCCCCCGACAGCCCGACGTCCATCTGGGGGCCGCACGCTCCTGGATATCAGAGTCATTGACCTGGGTGGGGTCAGGAATGCTGCTGTGGGCCCATCGCCACTCAGACTCCGCCAGTATCAGGGCGCGGGGGTAGGAGACAAAGGTGACCCAGCCCAGGAGGCTGCCACCGCCTCCCGTGCCAGCCTGTACTTGCCACCCTGGCAGGAGTGTCCCCCACGATACGCTTTCCTAACCTGCCAGCTCCCTGGGCCCCAGCCCCATGGGAACAGACAGGAAACCCTAACGTTGCCGCCTGGAGGCCTCCCCTTCAAGGACTGCCGAGGTTGACCTCGTGTTTGATTCGGGTTGGCGTGAGGGGGGTTGTTTATTTTATTTAGAAAACATTTTTTTCTTTTTAAGGAAGAAAGTGAAGTGCTGCGGGCTGGGAAGAATGCTGTGGCCATCCACCCCGTGCGGTCTTCCGAGGGAGGCGGGGTCTAGCTTGCTGCGCCCAGGGCCCAGCCAGCAGCGGGCAGAGCCCCTGGGAGGGAGGAGAAGGCCTGTGCCCGGCGCGGTGCCCAGAAAAGAGCTACTGGCTCTGCTGGCTCTCGGGCAGGCCCTTGGAGAGCCCGTTTCCCTGGCCTTGGTGTGTCCAGCCTACGGGGCCTGCAGAGGGAAGTGGAGGCCCTGCTCCCCGCTGGGCATTCCCATCGTGTGCCACCTTTGCTGAGCCTGGGCCAGTCCTGCTGGTTCCTGGGGGGTGTGGCTGGGGGGGCGGGGAGGCGCTGCCCTGTGACTGTTGCAGGGGCCACACCCAGCTGCCCCATGGGGTCACCTGACAGGCTGGTGTTGCTCTGCCTGTCACCCACACCTACCTGTCTCTGGACATTCCCCTGACCACCCCTCTGACCGTCCTCCTCCGTGGAGGATCAACATTCTGGGATACTTCTTTTTTCTTTCTTGCTCGTTACCATCCCCCTTCCATAGACCAAGAGGTCCTGAAACTCAGGAACGGGATGTGGACACAGAGACCCAGGAGCCGAACCGCAGAGCAGTTGAGGGCCCAGCCCTCCTGTCCGCCTCCCAGGAGAAATCTGGCCCTTGTGGGGTCCCCGGAGCCACACGCCCGTACCTCCTGGCTGCCTGGTCTCGTGGACCTGCTGAGCCTCCGTTACCTTGGACTGGGCCCCCTGCTGTACTCGGCCCAGCACACCACCCAGCCTGTGTGCCCGTCCAAATGAGAGGCCCTGAGCTGCCCTCCGCCATGCTGCGGGCCCGAAGGGATGGGCACACACTGCGGCCCGCAGCCTCCCTGGGCTCCTGTCTCTAGTCTGAAGGCCTGGCGCGGGGGCTGGATCTTGCTCAGTATCACAGATTTTTAAACTCTTGATGTGTGTTAAGTGCTTGGGGGGCCTTGGAGTCGGGTCTTGCCTCCAGAGTCCCTGCAAGTCCCTCAGGACCAGGGCGGTGGTGACTGTGAGTGGGTATGTGGCCCCCAGGAGGGAGGGTGTGCCAGCCTGGCTCAGGGCCACTGCCCAGCCTTGGAGTCCCCGCAGCCGTGGAGGGCGTCCTCGCTTTCTGGGACGGAACTGGCTCTGGAGCGGTGGCTCAGGGCCACTGGGCCCCGGGCCGTCAGCTGGGGCTCTTGTCGGCTGCAGTCCCAGGATGGGGACACAGGAGGCCCGTCGGGGTCAGCAGCACCCCACTCTCCTGTTAGACAGTTCTCAGGGAGGGTCACAGGGTCTCCGAGCTCCTGGAATCACGGCTCCAGGCCTGTGCCCACAGTGGTTCTGTGTGCTCCCGTGTTGCCTTGTGTGGCTCAAGTGCAGGCAAGGGCCTGGCCAGCTCAGGGCTAGACCTCCATCCCAACCCCCTCAGAAGGAAAGGGCAGGAGTCACCCCACCTGTGAACCTAGGTTAGGGCTAGGGGCTGGGCAAGGTCTGCTGGTTGCACTGGCCTTCTGTCCTCAGGCCCCCTCTCTGATGGGGCCTCAAAAACCCCAGCTGGCCTTGTCAGTTCTGTCCGTCCGTCCATCCACCCCTAGCCTGCTCCTACCCCACTTTGGTTCAACCCTCCTTCCTGGCCCCGCGTCATCAGATACCTGGGCTTCCCCCCATGTTGCCTCCAACAGAACCTGTCCACTCACCCGCCACCCAACCGAGCTTCCCAAGTGTGGTCTGTCGAGCCTCTTCCCTGCCCAGTGGCTCTCCCTGGCCAGGCCTCCCGTGTCTGTCCCCACGTCCACCACCCACCCTGGGCTTCGCCACCTGTCGACATCCTGTTTGCATTTGAGGAACCCGGTGAGGTTCCACCTCCTCCACGTGACCTCTCCAATGGCCCAGAACGTTCTTTCCTGCCTGAGTCTCCTCCAACCAACTGGGCCCCATGCAGTTCGTCTCATGCTTTCTAATGTCACGGAATCGCAGATGTAGGACCGGTGCCCTGGGCGGGCCTCCCCAGGGGGCAGGGCTGCATGGCGCCTTCTAGCAGGTGGTAGGCAGCAGGGCCCTGTGCTGGGCTCCATGAGGCGGGCAGGGATACGGAGAGGTGGGCACACAGCATCCTTTTCACCTGTGACCTGCTGGCGGCCCCCCCATATCCGGAGGCCCTGTGAGCATCTCGAGAGCCAGGTGGGATCGCAGCCGGTGGCTGGGCAGGACTGCAGGTGGCCTAGGAAAGGAGAGGAGGGGAGACCAAGCTGCCACTGAGGCATGAAACCTGGCCAGGTGTGACTTTCCCAGACCACTTGGTGTTGGGGGTGAGATAACCGGGGGCGGGGAGTGTGATAACCTGGGCTTCCGTGGTCACAGGGGCAGCCCCCGCTCCTCTGCTGCCCTGGAGGCAGCTCAGGGCCAGGGGTCCTAGTTTAGTTATTAGGGACAAGGGAGCTGAGGCTTGACTTTTTTTTCCCCCCCAATATTGGAATATAATCCACATGACAGAAAATTCATCATGCTGAAGTGCTAAAGTCAGTGGATTTCAGTACATTTACTGTGTCATGCAGCCCTCATCACTGCCTAATTCCAGAACATTCCCATCACCTTATAAAGAAACCCCAGCCCATTAGAAGTTATTCCTCTTTTCTTCTCCAGCTTTTGAAACTCACTCATCTGTTTTCTGTAGATCTGCCCCTTCTGGACTTGTGGTATAAATGGAATCATATAATGTGTGGGCTTTGGTGACTGTTACTTGGTGGAACACTCGCAGGTTGGTCCGTACTGTGGGGCACACATATACCAGCCTTTCACTTCATTTCATGGCCAAGTGGTATCCCATTGTGAGGATGGGCCGTATTTCTATGATCCATCATCTGCTGATGGGTGGAGGCCTGGCTTCTGAGGTTCGGCCAACTCCCTGAAGCCAGCACAAGGAAGGGCTGGGACCAGACTTCTGAGCAGCCACTTGCTGGTCACCCTAGCTTTGGAAGACGGAGCTTTGGTGGGCAAACAAGCTTCCTTGGGTCCCACTGGTGTGACCCACGGTCAGGTCTGACGGGGTGGCTGCCTTGCTGGAAGGGATCATGACACCCACTGGCAGTGCCCTCCACTCCAGATTCCAGGGGCAGATGCAGCCACCCTCCAGGGGAGCAGGGCCAGCAGGCCTGGCGGGAGCCATGGGGACTCTGGGTCACTACCACCCGCCCTGTCTTCCAGCATCCGCAGCGTCATGCAGAAGTACCTGGAGGACCGGGGCGAGGTGACCTTCGAGAAGATCTTCTCCCAGAAGCTGGGTGAGTATGGCGGGGGCTCTGCCAACCCCAGGGCATCCACCCCACCTCCCAGTCCGGCTGCCAGGCCTTTGTATGCCACCCCAGCTGACCGGGCTGCGTGACCCCTCTCTGCCAAGAGATCTCCCGTCCACCGTGGGGGAAGCACAGGGCAGCCAGTGAGCCCCGATGCTAGCGGCAGGGCCGGGACCCAGTGTCTCCCAGCCCCTGGCCGTCGCCCCGGGAGGCCCCTGAAGCGGGGTGGGGGCCCAGCAGTCTTCCAGGGCCGCCAGGGAAGTTCCTCCTTTGGGGTTTTTGTTTTCGAGAGTTGCAGCTTCCCCTTGGCGCAGGCACAGCTGCTGGGGCCGTTGGTGGAACTGACAGGAAGGGGCGGGTCCCTTCCTGTGGCGCCTGCCGCTGCGGTCGCCCCCGCCCCCACGGCCCTCTTTGTGAGCAACCTGCGCCGCAGGCCCCTCGGCCGCCGCCTCCAGGGCCCCGGCCTTAGAGGCGGGCACCCGCGGGAGGGGGAGGCGGGGCGCGGGGAAGCAGGCCCGGGCGCCCACAGCTCTGACTCGGCCTTTCCCGGAGAAGGGACCTCGGCTATGAAATGGGAGTGGCCTGGCCCGGAGGTCAGGCGTAGGGAATCTGTGTGTCAAGGAGGCCTGCAGCGTGGGTCCCCTGCCTGTGCTGTGTGACCTTGGGCACATCGCTGCCCCTCTCTGAGCCTCGCCTGAGAGCTAGCATTCTGGAGCCTCACTGTGCAACACTGTTGCAGGCCCAGGTGCGGTGGTGGCAATGAAAAGCCCCTTGCCCACTGGGAAGCCCGGGGCTCGAGTTCCTCAAGGTCCACTGTTGAAAGGCCCGTCTGCCCTTACCAGAAGCCGTGGCTGTGAGCTCTGGCAGAGGGGGCAGGGCCCCCAGAGGTGTGCGAAGCCTCCCAGCTTGAGCCTGGGCACCCATGTCAGGCTTGAGTCAGGACCACCCTTCCTCCTGCTGGCCCTCCAGGGCTGCTCTGGGGCCCGGGCCCTGGCCCGCGTCCTCCAGGGTCTCCTGCCTGCCCTTCCTGCAGCCCGTCTCACCCCCTCCCGTACCCAGAGGCCGTGCTGTCTGGAGCCCTCTGCACACAGCCTCTGCCCTGTCCTTCCCAGGACCTGCCACTGGGCAGGAGAGCCCTGAGTTCCCCTCAGGCTGCCAGGTTCCACCTGCCTGACAGGTCTCCCTGAGCCTCGGTTTCCCCCACTGCACTTGCCGCCCCATCCACTTGTTTGGAGTGGCAGCTGTGAGAGCCAGCCTGATGATGGAGGCGGGGTGTAAGGTCCAAGGACAGGGCACCCCCAGCCCCCATGCAGCAGCTCTGGCCTGGCCCAGGCTGATCTCACTGCACTGCCGCGGCCCAGCTGCCCGCTGGGTGTGTCCCCCTTCTGGGGGAGAAGCAGGCCCCAGATTGCATTGAGAGGGCAGGGGGCCCAGGTGCCAGAGTCAGCCCCACACTTTACCTTACCAGGGCACCTGCCGCTTTCCAGCCACCATCAGAAGAAGCAGATTCTGAGAGGGGTGGGAACTCGGGCGCCCCGACCCTGAATCTGAGACTCTTCGGTTGGTGGTGACCTCCGAGGCCACCTTGCCCAGCCTCTGTCCAGGGCAGGGACCACCTCTGCCCCCTCCTTGGCCAGTTCTGCCCAGGAAGCCCCAAGCCCACACCTCCCACCATGATGGGATGGCGTCTGTGGGGCTGTGACTCAGCCTGATGGAAAACACTTGCTTTCAGGGTACCTGCTCTTCCGAGACTTCTGCCTGAAGCACCTGGAGGAGGCCAAGCCCTTGGTGGAGTTCTACGAGGAGGTGAGGCCGGGCTGGCCCGGCCCTGCTGCATGTGGGAGAGGGAGGGGCTTGGGCTGCTTGCATTGAACCTGTAAGACAGTCCTGCGCCCCGCTGGGCCAGGGCTCACCTGTGGGGATCTTGTCCTCCAGATCAAGAAGTATGAGAAGCTGGAAACAGAGGAGGAGCGCCTGGCCTGCAGCCGAGAGATCTTCGACACGTACATCATGAAGGAGCTGCTGGCCTGTTCACATGTGAGTGTCCGGGGCCCGGGTACCGGCCTGGGCGTGTGGATGGGAGGGCCGGCCCCGTGGGGAGTCACTCGCCTCTCCCTCCTTCCCCAGCCCTTCTCGAAGAGTGCCATCGAGCACGTCCAGGGCCATCTGGTGAAGAAGCAGGTGCCTCCAGATCTCTTCCAGGTGTGTGCTGGGCTTGTCCCCACTCCTGCCCAGCCCAGCGAGGGTCCCCCATGGGCGGCGTAGTCCCGGAGCCTGGTTGGCTCTTGCTATGGCTCAGTCACCCACCTCCCACTCCCTCCCTTAGCCATATATCGAAGAAATTTGCCAGAACCTTCGAGGAGACGTGTTCCAGAAATTCATCGAGAGGTGAGAGCAGGGCACGTGCAGGAGCAGAAGGGGTGCTCTGAGAAGGGGTGCGGATGTCCTGGAGGAGAACCGCCGGCCTGCTTCAGTGCCCAGTGTGTGTGCCCCTGGGCCTGTCTACACCCCAGCGCGGGGACTCCTGAGAGGTCACCACCTCCCCCACCTGCCCCGCCCTTCTCAGCACTAGGCACCTCAAAACCCGTCCCTGTCTAAAGGGAGCAAGGGACCACCCATGTGTCTTTCCCCCCATCAACTGTCTAGCCCCTTGCTGGGCCCACTGGGGATGAGAAGTATCAGGCTGGTGGTGAGGATGGGCACGAGGACACACTGCCCACCCCTCTGCCCCCTTGGCCTTCACGGCCAGAGCCAGCCTGGGGAGTGTTCCTTGATGTGTCCCAGCTGCCCTGCCGTCTTGTAGGGGTTTCACTGGGAGAGAGTGGTGTGTCACTGGACGTATGCAAGGAGGGAAATGAGATGAGCCTTGTTGTGGATGTGGTAGCAGGAAGTCGGGGTCAGATGGGATCTCACCTCTAAGTTTATCTGATCCAAGCAGAAACCCAGAGACTGATAACAATGCTGGTATTGCCGGGAGGCAGGTGGGGGCAGCCCGTGTTGGCATTCTTCCTGGCAGGCCTGGAAGAGGACCCTGAGGTTTGGGAGCCCAGGCAATAGCAATGGGTGAGGCCAGCTTGCCCCCAGCATCAATTTCACTCACTTTCTAAGGCTTAGCTGAGCTTGGGTTCTTTCTTCTCTTGCAGTGATAAATTCACACGATTTTGCCAGTGGAAGAATGTGGAGCTCAACATCCACGTGAGTGGGCTGGGTGGGCGTGCAGAATCGTCTCCCTGCTGCTCCTCCCCAGGGCCCGGGGCGGCCGGGGGAGTCTACCTTCAACCCCCCAGGGGCAGCTGTGGGCTTGGTGCTAGGACCCCAGTGTGGATGGCTCCAGGCAGGGCGGCACCTGGGAAAGGTGGCCCTGGGTCAGGGGCCTTGGGGGAACACCCTGCTGCTCCCAGGGTGGGCCCGGGCAGCCTGTGGTGACTCCCCCGCCTGCCACCCCCGCAGCTGACCATGAACGACTTCAGCGTGCACCGCATCATCGGGCGAGGTGGCTTTGGTGAAGTCTACGGCTGCCGGAAAGCTGACACGGGCAAGATGTGAGCACCGGGTCGGCTGCCTTGGGTGGGATGCCTGAGGGGGAGGAGGGCCCCCCGGGGGGTGCCCTGAGGACCAGCCACACCCCACTGTACCCCTGGGGCCCTGCACTGCAGGTGCCCGCAGACCGACTGAGGGACCGGCCCCTCTCCCCCAGGTACGCCATGAAGTGTCTGGACAAGAAGCGGATCAAGATGAAGCAAGGGGAGACCCTGGCCCTGAACGAGCGCATCATGCTGTCGCTCGTCAGCACTGGGGTGAGCGGCAGCCCGCCTCGCCTCAGCCCTCGGCTCCAAACCCGGTGCAGCCTGCGCTGACCTCCTCCTCTTCCACCCCCTGCTAGGACTGCCCGTTCATCGTCTGCATGTCATACGCCTTCCACACGCCAGACAAGCTCAGCTTCATCCTGGATCTCATGAACGGTGAGTGCCTGGCCTGGCCCCAGGTGGACCTCGGGGCTGGGGACCGGGGTGGGAGCTGAGCGCCCCCCCCTGCGGGCTGCCTCCTTCAGGCGGGGACCTGCACTACCACCTGTCCCAGCACGGGGTCTTCTCCGAGGCCGACATGCGCTTCTACGCAGCGGAGATCATCCTGGGCCTGGAGCACATGCACAACCGCTTCGTGGTCTACCGGGACCTGAAGGTGAGGCGCCTCCCCAACCTCCTCCCAGCCTGGCTCCTCCCCCTTTTGTGCCCCGCCCTCTTCCCGGCCTGGCTCCTCCCCTCCGAAACCCCCACGCCCCCGACCCAGGCCCGTCTCTGGATACCCTTACCTCTAGACAGCCACCTGGCTGGCGTCTTGCCCTGCCGGGTCCTGTCCTGAGCTGCTCACTGAGCCTCCTCCACAGCCGGCCAACATCCTGCTGGACGAGCACGGCCACGTGCGCATCTCAGACCTGGGCCTGGCCTGTGACTTCTCCAAGAAGAAGCCTCACGCCAGTGTGTGAGTGCCCCAGCCCCACGCCCCCTTCCCGCACCCTCCGACCGACCCGCTTATGGCCTCCTTACTCCGCCAGGGGCACCCACGGGTACATGGCTCCCGAGGTTCTACAAAAGGGTGTTGCCTACGACAGCAGTGCTGACTGGTTTTCCCTGGGCTGCATGCTCTTCAAGCTGCTGCGAGGGTGAGCAGGCCGTCCCAGGGCGGGTACACAGGACAGAAACAGGCTTTCCCCTAGGGCTTGGGTGGGGGGCCCCCCTGCTGCCTGGCTGTCAGGGGTGACACCATCCCTGGCTTTGGTAAGGATCATTCATGGGCTTCCCAGGTGGCACTACTGGTAGAGAACCTGCCTGTCAGTCAGTGCAGGAGATATAAGAGTTGTGGGTTCGATTCCTGGATCAGGAAGATCCGCTGGAGGAGGGTATAGCAAGTTCAGTTCAGTTCAGTCGCTCAGTCATGTTGGACTCTTTGCAACCCACTCCAGTATTCTTGCCTGGAGAATCCCCAAGGACAGAGGAGCCTGGCGGGCTACAGTCTATGGGGTCGCGCAGTCAGACACGACTGAAGTGACTTAGCAGCAGGCACTCATGCAGCCTGCCTCAGTTTGCACATTCCCATTCTCTGACCTTGGACTTTGGCTTTTCTTGCCCAGGCATAGCCCTTTCCGGCAGCATAAAACCAAAGACAAGCATGAGATCGACAGAATGACATTAACAATGGTGCGTGGAGGGTCCCAAACCGGGGAGGCTAGGTGGAGCTCATGAGGGGCCATAGTGCGGCTGGGGTCTCATGTGGGCATCAGGGTCTTGGCCGCCAGCAGCCCACCCTCTGGCCACGTATGCTTTCCCTTCCCCACGCTGTCAGAGCAAACATGCCTGCTAGGGGCATCCGGAAGCTCTCTGCCGGGGGCCTGGACCCGCCCGCCCCTGCCTCATGAAGCCTCAGGGGGCCCAGAGCTGTGATGGGGGCCAGGGTGGGCCCCTGCCAACATCCCCTCCTCCCTGCAGGCTGTGGAGCTGCCCGACTCCTTCTCCCCTGAGCTCCGCTCCTTGCTGGAGGGGCTGCTGCAGAGGGATGTCAACCGGAGGCTAGGCTGCCTGGGCCGAGGGTGAGTGCCCAGGACCCCGGCCATTACCCCAGGCCTTCCCGCCCTGCTGGGTGATGTCCACACTGCGGTGTCTAGGCGTCTGCAGGGGTTGCTGGGGCAGCCTGCCTGAACCTCCACCCGTGTTCCTCTGAGGCTGTGTCCTGTCACTGGAGCCCCCCCAGTCTGTGGTCCCAGCCTCCTTACAGAGTTCACAAGTTGGGGCCAGGGCAGCCCTGCCCAGTGTTCCCAAGTGGAGAGTGCCTGCCATACAGCTGCTGGGGGTGGGCACAGGCCGGACAAAGATGATGTTGCTAATGATGATGACAGCAGCTTTTTATGTTTATTAAACGTTTACTAAGCACTGGGTGTGATGTTGCAAGATTCCCAGTATTAAACTCACCACAGCCCTATGCGGTGGAAACTGCTGTTCTCCCCATTTGAAAGATGAGAAAACAGGCTGAGGTTTAAGGAACTTGCCCATGGTTGCAGAGCCAGAGCGTGGCTAAACCAGCAGTTAAGCCTAGGCACCCTGTCCCGCAGCCCAGACCTCGCCCCCCCAACCTGGGTGGTGCCAAGCCCCAGTGACCTACTCTTCCCACAGGGCCCAGGAGGTGAAGGAGAGCCCCTTCTTCCGTTCCCTGGACTGGCAGATGGTCTTCTTGCAAAAGGTAACAGCCCAGAAGCGGGGCTGGGTGGGGTGCTCAGGAGCCCCTGCTCAGTCCTGATGCCTAGCCCCTGCTCCACTGCAGTACCCTCCCCCACTGATCCCCCCACGAGGGGAGGTGAATGCAGCCGACGCCTTCGACATTGGCTCCTTTGATGAGGAGGACACAAAAGGAATCAAGGTATGGGGCCTGGCCTGGCCTCCTGGGCCTGAGCACGGCTAGCAGTGTCCGCTGTCCTCTGGCCCTATGAGATCCCCGCGTCAGTCCCATCTGCCTGGTGGGCCCCGAGCTCCTGCTTCCCACACGTCCCCGGGGGTGGCCACTGGACCGGACCATCATGTCCGGGGCCCTGCGGCCATGCTGGCCTGTGGCTGAGAGCCATCCCTTCTCCACCCTCTGGGCGAAGCTACTGGACAGCGACCAGGAGCTCTACCGCAACTTCCCCCTGACCATCTCGGAGCGGTGGCAGCAGGAGGTAGCAGAGACTGTCTTTGACACCATCAACGCTGAGACGGACCGGCTGGAGGCCCGCAAGAAAACCAAAAACAAGCAGTTGGGCCACGAGGAAGGTGAGGGTCAGCAGCTGCCATGGGCGCCCACTGCCCGCTCTAGAGATGGGAAGCAGGCTCAGGTGTCAGCCGGGGTCCCTGCCAAAGAGCAGCCGATCCAGGACTCAGACCCAGGTCGGGCAGCCGGCTGAGTGCCCCTCTCTTGCTCTCTCACGTCAGACTACGCCCTGGGCAAGGACTGCATCATGCATGGCTACATGTCCAAGATGGGCAATCCCTTCCTGACCCAGTGGCAGCGGCGGTACTTCTACCTGTTCCCCAACCGGCTCGAATGGCGGGGCGAGGGCGAGGCCCCGGTAAGGAGCAGCCCGGGACCCTGGAACCCCTGGGATGGGCGGGCCGGTCCCAAGCCCTCACTGCCCGCTCCCCGCCCTGCAGCAGAGCCTGCTGACCATGGAGGAGATCCAGTCGGTGGAGGAGACGCAGATCAAGGAGCGAAAGTGCCTCCTCCTCAAGATCCGAGGCGGCAAGCAGTTCGTCCTGCAGTGCGACGTGAGTGGGGACCCGGGGTGGGGCCAGAATAACTGGGGCGGGGCCAGAAGGGCCGGGGCCCCGCCTAACAGCTAGTGTGCGCGCAGAGTGACCCAGAGCTGGTACAGTGGAAGAAGGAGCTGCGCGACGCCTACCGCGAGGCCCAGCAGCTGGTGCAGCGGGTGCCCAAGATGAAGAACAAGCCGCGCTCGCCCGTCGTGGAGCTGAGCAAGGTGCCACTGATACAGCGCGGCAGCGCCAACGGCCTCTGACCTGCTGCCCACTCGCCCAGCCACCCTCCTGCCCGCCCGCCTTTTATAAACCTCTAATTTATTTTGTTGAATTTTTATTATTTGTTTTCCCGCCAAGCGGAAAAGGTTTTATTTTGTAATTATTGTGATTTCCTGTGGCCCCAGCCTGGCCCAGCCCCCAGGGAGGGGCCCGCTTGCCTTGGCTCCCGCTGCCACCCACCCAGCCACTGTCCAGCCACCTCACCCTGCCCCCAGGGGCCTCCACTCCCGTGTCTCCCCCACACAGGGAGAGCAGCAGCCCCCAGCGCCCTCCCACCCTTCCCCAGGGATGGTGTCGCCTGGAGTTGGGCCTGCCGCCTCCCCTCCCCCCCAGCTCTGTGCCTACAACACAGCTGGGTGGCCCGCTGGCCCCACCCAGGGGAGGCTGCAGGACAAGGAGGCTACTTGAAGCTCCCAGCGACTGACCTGCCCTCCAGCCAGTCGGTGGATAAGGGAGCCTGTGGACTCGCTGACCCCAGGGCCTTCCACGTGACTTCGGCTCCTGCACCCTTTCTCGGGAAGAGCCCCCGTGTCACTGGCTGCCTCCCCGCCCACCTTCCCCTGGACACAGTGGGGCCTGGCCAGGAGGGGTGGCATTGGCAGGGGCTGCTGCTGCCCCCATCCCCCGCCCCCCCTTCCCACCCCAGCGCCCAGGCTCAGGGACCACAGAAAGGCACCTTCGGGGCTGTGCCACGCTGGCCTTGCCTGGCTCCGAGCCCCCTTCCCCTGGGCTGGGCAGGGGCTCTTCTGCTCAGAACCGTCGGGGGCCAGCCTGGGCCGGACGGCACAGTGCGAGGGGCGGGTGCGGCAGCCCTCCCCACTCCAGTGCGCCCCTCGCGGTCCAGCCCCATGTCCAGTCAGTGCCGCCGCCCCCAGGGCGCCACCTCGCCCGCAGCATGCCCCCTCGTGCCAGTCGCTGCCGTGTGTGGTGTCGCGCCCTCCCCCGGGGCTGGGTCGGCGGGCCCTCCCCTCCCATCTACACTCCCCGGGGCATTCCTCTGCCGATTTTTGAATGTGATTTTAAAGAGTGAAAAAGGATACTATGCGTTTTTATAAAAAATAGTGCCTGACTCCTTGGCTGTGTCAGACTCTTGTGTCATTTTCAGCCTCTCCCCGCCCCCCCACCTCGGGGTGGGGCCTGAGGAGGGAGGGTCTTGGTGGCACCAGATCTCTGCCTCCAGGGCAGGCACTCACAGCCTGGGGAGGGTTGGGGGTGGCTTGTACCCTGCCTGTCCCATCCCGGGGGAGCAGAAGGAGGTCTTCTGCCCACTGTCCGGGAAACAGGAGGTGCCCGCAGGCTGGTGCTTAGTGTCATGTTTGGACTGGCTGGGCATCTAGCCCACCGGGGCCCATGCTGAGGACACTGCTGTGGACAGATGAGCACCTCTGCCCTGGGGGCCACACATGCAGCCTCCAGCCTCAGCCTCTGGCTTCGTCCTCACCTCTGGCTTTGCAGCGCAGCCTCCAGTAGAGGTCCCTGAAGCCTGAACAATCCCCCAGCACCAGGCTTCACATACCCAAAGGCTATGTTCAACTTTCTTCTCCCCACGTCTCTGACGTCCAGGCCCCCATGGGTGATGTCGCTGCTGCCCTTTCCAGGCAGGGGTCTGCAGGCAAGGACTCGGGGCCCCAAGGAGTCCCCAAGGAAATGGCTTTGGAGCTGGCCCTCCAGCTCTGGGGTGGACGAGGTGGGGAGGACATTTCTGATGCAGGGAAGGGCCCAGCGGTCAGGAGTGGCTCAGGCTGGCAGCAGTACTGTGGGAAGGAAGCAGGCCTGGGAGGCCCTGAATGCCAGGCTAAAGCCAACCCAGCGTCCAGGGGCACTTAGTGACTGCAGCACAAAGATGCGAATGGAGATGGAGTCTGAACCTGGATAGGCTCTCGGGAGTCCTTGACAGTTCTGGACAGGGGCTGGGTGGTGACCTGACAGCTGACTGCAGAACTAGTTGCTGGTTACATGTGCAGGGTGTGCAGAAGGAGATGGAAGATGAGTCAGGGAGACAGGGGAAGGGCCAGTGATTCTGTCCAGGGAAGAGATGTCATAATGATGGTGGTGGTAGAGGAAGAGATGCACAGAGGCTGGATGGAAAGAACCTGGCCCAGCGGGAATGGGCAGGACTTGGGGACTAGAGAGAGGTGGGGGTCTACGATGGTACACCAGGAGGGCCCTACGGTCACTCAGCCACGACAGTCAGGGAGCAGAGCTGGCTGGAAGGGAGGAGGGTGAATGTGGCCTCATTTGGCTTGGGACCTGATGATAGCATGGGCCTTCGGGCACAGAGGGGTCCAGGGAAGAGCTGAAGTGTGGTCCGGGAGGTGGCACCAGGGTGACATTGGAACAGACAGGCTTTTAGCCGGGAGAAGCCTGATTTGGGAGTCAGGAGGAGCCCTGGAAAAGGGTTGAGAAGACAACGGAATTAGGAGTCAAGTACCGGTAGGGAGTTGTGTTCGAGGCTGCATAAATCAGGACAGGCTGGGCCTGAGACAGTCCTGTTAGATTTGGGGTGAAGAGGGCTTGGGACTTTTTAAGGAAGGTGGAGGCTAGAAAGAGCTGCAACAGTGGTGGCTGGTAGGACCTGATTTTATTTTATTAAAAAAAATTTTTTTTAACACGAAAACCATTTGTATTGGGGTATAGCCAATTAACAATGTTGTGGTAGCTTCAGATGAACAGCAAAGGGCCTCAGCCGTACATATACATGTATATATCCATGCTCCCCCAAACCCCCCTCCCATTCAGGCTGGCATATAACATTGAACAGAGTTCCAGATGCTAGGCAATAAGTCTTTGTTGGTTATCCATTTTCAACATAGTAGGGTGTACATGACCTTCCTAAAGTCCCTAAGTAGCCCTTCCCCCCAGCAACCATAAGTTTGTCTTCTAAATTTGTGAGTCTCTTTCTGTTTTGTAAGTTCATTTGTATCATTTCTTTTTAGACTCCATATATAAAAGGTGTCCTATGACATTTTTCCTTCTCTGTCTGACTTACTTCACTCAGTATGACACTCTTAGGTCCACCCACATTGCTGCAAATGGCATTATTTCATTCTTTTTAATGGCTGAGGAATATGCCATTGTATATCTGCACCACATCTTTATTCATTCCATGTCTGGTAGGGCCTGATTTTAGAGTTCTAGACATTCAGAGGCCTCTGCTGTCGTAGACCCATGGACATTATAATGACTTGATGGCACCACAGTGCAGGGTAGCAAGTCATCCCAGATAACACAGGAATCACTTGGCCACAATGAGAGGGCAAGGTAAGAACGTTAACTAGGGCCTCCCAGCCCACAGACAGACCTCAAACATCTAGATCAAATGGCACGACCCTTTTATAAACAGAGAGATGGAAACCTGAGGGTCAGCCTTGGCCAAACCCAGCTGCTGCCTCACCAAGTCTGGGGCCAAAACCCAGGCTAAGGCTAGGGTAATACACCAGAGCTGAGCAAGGCCTGCACCCTGGTTCCGGTGCGGGCGGAGGGGGCTGGCCCTGATTTCGAAACTCTCCTTCCTTTCCTGACATTGGCAGCAAAGTGCAGCCTCTGCAAAAGGGACACACGCGGCAGCTGAAAGCAGCCACCTCGCAGTGAAGGGCCCTCCGAAGGTCTTGAGCTAGCCAGGCCGGCTCCCCACCCCGCCACATATTCCCATTCCTGCCTCCCGTGCGCCCCACCCCCATCCCCCAGGACAGAGTCCAGCCCAGGAAGGGGGCTTCAAGCAAAGCTGGTGAGCATTTAGGGGCATCTCAGAAGTGATGGGGTTGTGGCCAGCCAGCAGCTCGCATCCCACCCGCACAGTCAGGCACGTTCGAGTACCCATGGGGCCTGGGGTAGGAAGATCGGGCGCATGGTCAAGGCGGGGAGCTGCCGGGGGAACTCTGGTGACCAACAGCCGCGGGATCGCGGCCCGCCGAGCACGCAGGCGCGCACGTGCGCGCGCACGTCCGCTCGCCGGGCCGCCGGGCCCCCGGCCTCGCTTCTTCCCCTTCCGGACCCGCGAGGACTGGTCTGCGCCGTGCCTGGGTCGCCCCCTGCAGGGCGTGGGCTGAGCTGCAGCCTGGCCCTGCCCCTCGGAACGCCCTCCGCAGACCCCTCCCGGCCGGACCCGGGGCTGAGACCCGGGGCTTGGCTTCTGCCCTGGCGCCCGTGGTCGGCGGCGCTTGCTTGGCGGCCCCCCTCGCCCGTCCCCGGCGCGCGCCAGCCCCGCCGAGTTTCGATGGCTGCGAAGCAAGGCGGGCACCAAGCCCGACGCTCCGCCCCGCCCCGGCGCCGCCCCGCCCGCCGGGCCGTCCCTCCCCGCCGCCTGCGCCACCGCCGCCGCCGCCGCCACTGCCGCCGGGGGCGCGGGGGCTGCGGTGGGCGCAGCTCCGGCGCGGCGCGGACTGGAGGTGAGGGGGCCGCACTAGGTCCCCAAGCCGAGGGGGGGACCGGGCCGCCCCCGCCGCGCCCGCCCGCCCTCCCGGGATGCGGCGCTGACGCCCAGCATGGCAGGCCCGGGTCCCACCTTCCCGCTGCATCGGCTAGTCTGGGCTAACCGGCACCGAGAACTGGAGGCCGCTCTGCACAGCCGCCAGGTGAGGAGGCCCACCAGGTCCCGGGGCCGTCCCCCTGGCCACCCCCCCCCCTCCCCCAGATCTGTGGTCTCCATCCCGGAGGCCGCCCGCCCGGCTCCCTCTCCCCGGAGGTCCAGAAGTCCAGGTCACCTGCCCCTCTAGCTTGGGCTTCTGGCCTCGGGACTCCCAGCGCTGGGCCTGGCCCTACCGATCTCCCAACTTCGCATTGCATCCAGCCTCACCACCCCTGAGCCCAGGCTGAGAAAAGCAGCTTGGTCCTGATCCTCAGGCCAGCCCTGACTCTTGACGTCAGCAGCTGCATCTCTACCTGACCAGACGCCCCCCTCCACCGGGCCCCCAGCTCTGACCCTGGCAGAGAGCAGGAGAGGTGGGCAAGCCCTTCCCACCTGCCCCCTTCTCTTCCCTTGCCAGGACGCTCAGGCCACCGGTGCCATTCCCACCGCCTGTCTGCAGTGACTCCCGCCCCTGTTCATCCCCGCGGCCTTCTTGCCCCCGCCTCTTCTTACTTGCCCTGCTGTGTCCCATCTCCCCCAGCACGACATTGAACAGGAAGACCCCCGGGGGCGCACCCCGCTGGAGCTGGCCGTGTCCCTGGGGAACCTGGAGTCCGTGAGAGTCCTCCTTCGACACAATGCCAACGTTGGCAAAGAGAGCTGTCAGGGCTGGGCAGGTACTGCAGAGGCAAAGAGGGGCTTCCTTGAGACTGGCAGCAGGGGGTGGTGTGGGGGAGTGAGCGGTCCAGCCTGGGGCCGTCTAGGGAATGCCCCTCAGCCCCCGGTGCCCCCAGTCCTGCAGGAGGCCGTCAGCACTGGGGACCCTGAGATGGTGCAGCTGGTGCTCCAGTATCGGGACTACCAGAGGGCCACGCAGAGGCTGGCCGGCATTCCGGAACTGCTCAACAAACTCCGCCAGGTGCAGCAGGGCACGGAGGTGTGGCCCATGCGGGGAGCGTGGGGTGCCACGGAGGGGGCCATGACAGTCTCTGTGGGGTCACCCCACCAGGTTCAGCCATGGAAGGACACCCAGCCTGTGCAGCATGCTTTTCTGACCCTATCAGTGGGCTTCCTCCCTCTGGACCCCAGCCCAGGGTCAGGCAGGAAAGAGGGGCATCTGGCCCCGTGGATGAGAGCGTGCCCTTTGGAAGGAAAGCCTTTGCCAACATCGAAGGTCCTCTATGATGTGTCATCTCGATGTGTCTCTGTGGTCCAACTCGCCCCCGACCCCAGCCAAACCCTGCCCAGGAAAGGGTGAGCCTAAATAGGTCCGTGAGTCCTCAGGCTATAACCATCTGCAGGCCAAGGGGCCAGGCTCAACCCCACCACTAGCCTGCTGATATGCCAGAAATCTCAACAGAGCTTTAGGTGGTGGGTCTCTTGGTTCTTGCACATTTCCTGGAAGGAGGATTTCATCCAACGTAGCAGATGTGGCCTGGACCCACGTCCTCCCTTCTCAAAGAACACGATGGGCGGGGCGGGGGGGTGCCCTGCTGGGAGAGTTCACTGCCTTGTGCCCTGCACCCCAGGGGTTAGGCCCAGAGGGGGTCACTGTGTCCCCTTTTCAGATGAAGACTCTGGGACCCAGAGGGGGTAGAAGTGCCCTCAGGCCCCCGAACAGGTAAATGGTGGGCTTGAGCCTGGCTCCCAGGCCTCCAGATGCTGATAGCCTGAGGACCTGTTTAGGCCACATGTGGCCCACCCTTTGCTCGGCAGGGTTTGGCTGGGGTGGGGGGTGAGCTGGACCACAGAGACACATTGAGACCCACCAAGGGGCTGGGCACCCCATGGGGCTGGCCCCCCACTGCAGTCAGGGAGGGCCCTGAGCAGCGCTCTGGTCTCTCTCAGGCCCCCGACTTCTACGTGGAGATGAAGTGGGAGTTCAGCAGCTGGGGTGAGTGGGGACCTACCGCTTGGCTCTCGGGGGCCCGGGATGGGGCCTTGGGGAAAGAGCGCCGGTGACCTCCGTGACCCCCCCACCCCCCGCAGTGCCCCTGGTGTCCAAGATGTGCCCGAGTGACGTGTACCGCGTTTGGAAGCGGGGTGAGAGCCTGCGGGTGGACACCAGCCTCCTGGGCTTCGAGCACATGACTTGGCAGCGTGGCCGGAGGAGCTTCATCTTCAAGGGCCAGGGTGAGCTCGGGGGTCCGGCCTGCGGCAGACCAGGGCCCCTGGCTTTCCTGTGAGGACGGTGCCATCTTTTGTCTAATGGAGGTGGGGTGGGGGGACCCGGAGCTCGCGTCCACACCCGGCAGCAGCGGGTGGCTGAGGGGTCCCGGGGTGGGGGGGCCCTGCAGCCGCCGTCTTGACCTCACACCCCCATGCCGGCACGTAGAGGCCGGAGCCTTGGTGATGGAGGTCGACCACGACCGGCAGCTGGTGCACATGGAGACGCTGGGGCTCACGCTGCATGAGCCCGAAGCGCTGCTGGCCGCCATGCGGCCCAGTGAGGAGCACGTGGCCAGTCGCCTCACCTCTCCCATTGTCTCCACCCACCTGGACACTCGCAACGTGGCCTTCGAGAGGTCAGTTGGGGCCTGGCCATGCCACGGGCAGGGCTCCGGTTCAGGCCACCGGCAGAGGCTGTTTGCATGGGGCTGGGGGCGGTCACTGCAGGCCCAGTGACTCTGGACCACCTGCCCGTCTCAGACCTGTGACACCTTCAAACCCCTGCACGCCTGTCTGTACTGGCAGCTGTCTCCCGGGGAGGAGGCTAGGGCAGGGTGTCCCGTTTCCTGACTCCTGACCTCACATGCTTTCCCATGAGACAAGAATTAGGGCTGTGGCCTGTCTGCACCAGAGCTGGCTTCTCAGGGGTGCAGGTGTGTCTAGGCCAGAGTCCTTTGTGGGTGGGCCAGGATCCTGTCCCCGCAACAACACGTACCCCAGTTCCAAAGCAGACTTCAGAAACTTAAAAAAAAAAAAACTCTCTTGAGATAATAATTTTATATACCATACACTTTACCTGTTTTAAGTGTACAATTCATTGGTCTCTAGTATATTCACAGGTGTGTACCACATCCAACTTTAGAACATTTTTGTCACCTCAAAAAAGAAACCCTGTCCCCTTTCATTGACTCCCATCCCCTCATCCCCGCCCCCAGCTAATAACTTTCTGTCTCCATAAATTTCCCTGTTCTGGATTTTCATATGAATAGAATAATACAATTTGTGCAGTCTTTTGTCACTGGCCTCTTTGGCTTAGCATAGTAGTTTCAAGGTTCATCCAAGCTGTAGCATGTAATAACTTCATTCCTTTTCATGGCCAGATCCATTGTATGAATACCCCACATTTTGTTTATTCATTCGTCCGTTGGTGGACCTAAGGATCATTTCCACCTTTTGACTGTTGACTATTAGACTATGAATAACGCTGCCCTAAACGTGAGTGTACAAGTTTTTGTGTGGACATATGGTTTTTTTTGACGTATGTTTTGATTTCTCTTGGGTATTTACCTAGGAGTGGAATTGCTAGGTCATGTGCTGATTAAACACATATGTTTAATTGTTTGAAGAGCTGCTAGAGTGTTCACTGAAGGGGCTGTGGCATTTTCCATTCCCATCAGCAGTATATGAGGGTTTCAGTTCCTCCACATCCTCACCAACACTTACCACTCATTTATTTATTTATTTTGGGGTTATCACCATCCTGGCGGGTATGAAGTGGTATTCATTGTGGTTTTGATTTATATTTCCTTAATGACTAATGATACTGAGCAATTTTTCATGTGCTTGTTGGCCATTTGTGTATCTTCTTTGGAGAAGTGTCTATTCAGATCCTTTGCTCATTTCACAAATCAGGTTATCTTTTTATTATTGAGTTACAAGAGTTCTTCATGTATTCTGGATATAAATCCCTTATCATGTACATGATTTGCAAACATTTCCTCCCATTCTGTGGGTTGTCTTTTCACTTTCTTGATGGTGTCCTTTGAAGCACAAAAGTTTTTAATTTTCATGAAGTCCAGTTTATCTCTTTTTCCTTTTGTTGCTTGTGCTTTTAGTTTTATACCTAACAATACTTTGTTGTCAAATCCAAAGTTGTGAAGATTTTCCCTTATGTTTTGTTCTGAAAGTTTTCTGGTTTTAGCTCTCACATTTAGCTCTTTGATTTATTTTGAATTAATATTTGTATATGGTGAGAGGTGAGGGTTCAGCTTCATTCTTTTGTATGTGACTATTCACTTCTCCCAGCTCTATTTGTTCAAAAGACTATTAATTCCCATTAAATGGTCTTGGCACCCTTGTGGAAAATCAGTTGACCAGAGACAAATGGATTTATTTCTATATTCGCAATTCTATTCCACAGATCTGTATGACTCTCTTTATGCCAGTACCACACTATCTTATTAATCACATTTTTTTGTAATAAGTTTTTGAAATCAGAACATAAGAGTCTTCCGACTTTGTTCTTCTTTCTCAGGATGATTTAAGTATTCTGGGTGGGTCCCTTGCAATTTCATATGAATTCCAGATTCAGTTTATCTGTTTCTACAAAGAAGTCATGTGGGATGGTGTTTGTGTTGAATCTGTAAAGCAGTTTGAAGAATAGTGCCATTTTAATAATGTTAAGACTTCTGCCATGAACATAGGTTATTTTCCCATTTTAGATCTTTAATTTTTTCTCAGTGATGTTTTGTAGTTTTCAGTGTTTTGCACTTAGAGTAAATACATTTATTCTAACTAATTTATTCTTTTTGATGCTACTATAGATTATTTTCTTAATTACATTTTGAATTGGTCATTGCAAATCTATAAAAACATAATGGAGTTTTGTATACTGATCTTATATCCTGCAACCTTGTCAGACTCATTTTTTAGTTCTAAAGTGTTTTTAGTGGATTCCTCATGATTTTTTTATATGTAAGATCATGTCATCTGTTAATAGTTTTACTACTTCCTTTCCAATCCAAATCCCTTTTATTTCTTTTTCTTATCTAATTGCTTTGTCTGGAACTACCAGTAGAATGTTGAATGGGAGTGGCAAGAGCAGACATCTTTATCTTGTTTCTGACCTTAGGGGCAAAGTTCAGCCTTTCATCATTTAGTATGATGTTAGTTGTAGGCTTCCCTTTATCAGGTTGAGGAAGTTCCCTTTATTCCTATTTTGTTGAGTGTTTTTCTCATGAAGGTGTTTCAGTTTTGGCAAATGCTTTTTCCGTGTCTATCGATAGGACCGTATGACTTTTTATTTTTATTCTATTGATATGTGTTGTTGTTCAGTCACTCAGCCGTGTCCCACTCTTTGTGACTCCGTGTATTGGAACACACCAGGCTTTCCTGTCCACTATCTCCAGAGTTTGCTCACACTCATGTCCATTGAGTCAATGATGCCATCCATCTCATCCTCTGTCGCCCCCTTCTCCTCCTGCCCTCAATCTGATGTTGAACCAGTCCTGTATCTCTGGGATAAATTTAGCTTTGTCATGGTGTATAATTCTTTTCATATATTGCTAGATTTGGTTGGCTAGTATTTTGTGTCCATATTCATAAGAGACAATGTTTCACAGTTTTTTTGTACTGTCTTTGTCTGACTTTAGTATCTGGGCAATGCCTCAGAATAAGTTAGGCAGTGTCACCTCCTAGTCTATTTTTTGCAAGAGTTTCTGAATAATTGGTGTTAATTCTTCTTTAAAACTGTGGTGGGATTCTTTGGTGAAACTGTCTGGGCTGGTCTTTACTCTGTGGGTAGTTTTTTTATTTTTATTTTTACTACTTCAATCCCTTTTCTCATTACAAATCTATTAGATTGTTTATTTCTTGAGTTAGTATTGGTAGTTTAGGTCTCTCTGAAAGTGAAAGTGAAGTCATTCAGTCGTGTCCGACCCTTTGGGACCCCATGGGCTGTAGACTGCCAGGCCCCTCCATCCATGGGATTTTTCCAGGCAACAATACTGGAGTGGTTTGCCATTTCCTTCTCCAGGGGATCTTCCCGACCCAGGAATTGAATCCAGGTCTCCCACACTGCAGGCAGATTTTACCATCTGAGCCACTGGGAAAGCTCTAGGTGTCTCTAGGATTTGTTCATTTCATCTAAATTATCTAATTTGTTGGGGTACAATTGGTTCAACATATTGTTTTATTTATAATCCTTTTTATTTCTGTAATGTCAGTGGTAATGCCCTCTCTTTCATTTCTGATTCTGGTAATTTGAGTCATCTCTCTTTTCCTGTCAATTCCATTGATCTTTTCAGAGAACCAGCTTTTGGTTGAATCAGTTTTCTCTATTGTTTTCCTATCCTTCATTTCATTAATTTTCACTCTGATATTTATTATTTCCTTCCTTCTGCTTGCTGTGGGTTTAGTTTGCTATTTTCCCAGTGTCTTATTGTGGAAGATTAGGTTACAGCTATATATTTCCTGGTGAGCATTGCTTAAATTGTGTCCCACAAGTTTTGATATGTTGTATATTCATTTCCATTCATCTCAAAGTATTTTCTGATTTTACTTTTGATTTATTGTTTGATCCGTTGGTTATTTAGGAGTGAGTTACTTTTCACATACTCATGAGTTCCCAACTTTTTTTTCTGTTTTTAATTCTAATTTCATTCAGTCGTGACTGGAAAACATGAGTCCATCAGTTCAGTTCTCATTGGGTCCTACTCTTTGCGTCTCCATGGACGCCAGGCTTCCTTGTCCATCCCCAACTCCTGGAGTTGGAGAACATACTTTGTGTAATTGCTTTCCTTTCAGTTTTGTTGTGGTTTCTTTTATGGCCAAGCATATAGTCTGTCCTGAAGGATGTGTATTCTGTTGTTGTTGGGTGGAATGTTCTAAGGACATCTATTAAGTCTAGTTTATAGCCTGTTCAAGTCTTTTGTTTCCTTGTTGATCTGTCTACTCGTTCTTTCCCTTCTTGAAGGTGGGGTTATAAAGTCTTCAACTATTATTGGGTCAGACTTTTTTTTTAAATTTTTATTGTGGAAAATTTAAAGCGCATAGACTAGTATAATGTATTCATCACTCAAACTTTAACATGTATCAACATTTTGCTTTTTTTTTTTTATTTTTGGCTGTGCTAAGCAGCATGTGAGATCTTAGTTCCTTGACCAAGGATCGAACCCATGCCCCCTGCAGTGGAAGCACTGAGTTCTAACCACCGGACCACCAGGGAGTTCCCAACATTTTGCCAATCTTGTTGAATATACTCTTCCACACTTTTTTCCTTTTCCTTTATTTTAAAGCACATCCCAGATGCCTTATCATTTCAACAGTACATGCATCTGTACATGACTGTAACAGATAAGGATGTTTTTAAACTGAGCCCTAACACTGTTAGCAAAAAAGAACAATTCCCCAGTACTTCCTAGTCCTCAGTTCTCTGTTCATTTGTCCTAGCTGTCCAGGCAGCCTCTTCAAGGTTCCTGTGTGTTTCACAGCGGGAAGGCTAATTGGAGGGGGTCTTTGGAAGGGACAACTTTGGCCAGAGTTGGGGGGTGTGAGTCCTCATGAGCTCCTGTTTGGTCTGTTTCAGGAACAAATGTGGTATCTGGGGCTGGCGGTCTGAGAAGATGGAAACCGTTAGCGGCTACGAGGCCAAGGCAGGAGAGCCTAGTGGTGGGGGCTGGGGTAGGAGACGAGGCCCAGGAACTCGGCCCCTTCCCTGCATCCACCCCGTGTGGAGGGAGAGACTGAGCAGTCCACGGGCTCCGGAAGCCCCGTGTGGCCCCCGCTGAGCCCACAGGGATCACCCACAGCACAGGCCCCCACCCAGATCACCAAGATGAAGCGAGGAGCGTTTCCCCTCGTTAGTGACTCCCTGGGGTTCAGACCCGTCCGCCTCCACTTCGGGGAGCGAGATCTCACCTGTCCCTGGGGACAGCAGGCCTTGGGTCCTGTGCTAGCGAGGCTGAGTGTGGGGGACAGGCTCTGAGCCCCCAGCTCCCCATGTCCCCCCTGCTCCCCAGGTGTACAGTGCCAGCAACGTGGAGCTGGTGACACGCACACGCACGGAGCACCTCTCTGATCAGGACAAGGCGAGGATCAAAGGTAAACCCAGGTGCGCCTGCCTGCTGCCCAGTCACACCGTATGGGCGGGTCACCCGTGTGTGGGGTCAGGGCCAGAGTGTCTGGGCCAAGCTGGGAGGCGTCCCCATTCCTATCTACTCTGCCTCCCACTACCCAGGAGGCTCCCAGGGTAGAAGGTGGGTGTGGGCAGTCTGGGGGCAGTGGCCCCAGGTCCCCTGATGGGCTCCACCCCTTCTCCTTAGGGGGGAAGACTCCATTCCAGTCCTTCCTTGGCATGGCCCAGCAGCACTCCTCCCACAATGGGGTGAGCCAGGGCTGGGGGGCGGGTGCTGGGGGCCGGCTGGCAGGGGCCACTGGGCAAGGCCAGGCCAGCGCCTCTGGAGCACTAAGCCTAGTCCTGGGGCCCACGCAGGCTCCTGTGCAGCAAGCAGCCAGCCCCACAAACCCCACAGCCATTTCCCCCGATGAATACTTTGACCCCAACTTCAGCCTGGAGTCGAGGAACATCGGCCGCCCCATTGAGATGTCCAGCAAAGTACAGAGGTGAGGTCTGGGGGCTGGTTGCAGGCCTCCTTCTGTGCCCCAAGCCGTTGTAGATTCCCCTCACACCCTGGGCCCCCTGGAGTGGGGGGACCACTCACCCAGCCAGCTGCCTTCTAGATTATTCCCTGGGGGCAGGGGCCTGGTCTGCTTTGGCTACCATGGTCCTCAGCACCCAGCTTGGGGCTTTGCTTAGAGGCCTGATTGCTCTTCCTGGTGAATGAATGAATGAATGGATGGCTTTCTGTTCAACTGAATGAGTACCTGCTAGGGGCCAGCTTGTGGCAGAGGGGAAGGACACGGGGCTCTCACACCTCTTGGCTTTGGGGCCTGAGGAATCATCTTCCCCTCTGAGAGTCTAGACCCCCCCCCTCAGTAAAATGAGAACAGTCGCATCTGACCATCCGCCCACAAGATGCTGGGAGGCTCTGATAAGCTGTGAGGTCTAGCACTTCCCATGAGCCCAGCACTGTCCCGGAACTTCATGTGGGCTCCCTCAGCCAGGGGCTGGGATATGACCCTAGTCGTACAGTCCTAAACTGTGTGTGTGTCGGGGGGGGTGCTGGACCCCAGAGGAAGCGATGTGCGAGGTGCTGGCTGTGGGCTGAAGAGGAGGATGGGCCAGACTGAGCCTGGGGCCTGGGGCCAGCGGCCAGCCCGGGCTGTAGGGCCAGAAGGACATAAGCTCCCAGGGGAATCAGGCAGGGGCCGCTGAGCAGAGAAGAGGGCCCCCCAGGCTAGGTGGAGAGCATGTGTAGAGGCAGAGTAGGTGGGCCTCAGCAGAGGGGCCACCAGAGGTCCCTCGACCCACATCTTGCGGCTGGCCGGGCAGGTTCAAGGCGACACTGTGGCTGAGCGAGGAGCATCCGCTGTCCCTGGGGGACCAGGTGACGCCCATCATCGACCTGATGGCCATCAGCAACGCTCACTTTGCCAAGCTGCGTGACTTCATCACCCTGCGCCTTCCGCCTGGCTTCCCGGTCAAGATCGGTGAGAGGGTGGGCGGGGGAAGCAGGAGGGTCCCAGGCAGCCCCCACCCCCTGGGAGTGGCGGCAGGGCTGGCTCAGGCAGCCCGTCTCCTCACAGAGATCCCCCTCTTCCACGTGCTCAATGCCCGCATCACCTTCAGCAACCTGTGTGGCTGCGATGAGCCCTTGAGCTCCGTGTGGGTGCCGGCGCCCGGCTCTGCTGTTGCAGCTTCAGGTACCGCTGCGGGCAGATGTGGGGCCATGAGGTTCACCCGCCTCTGTGTGCCGGGGAGGGGGCTGAGTACGACCCCTCTGCTGTGCCCAGGGAGCCCCTTCCCCTGTGAGGTGGACCCTGCCGTGTTCGAGGTGCCCGAGGGGTACAGCGTGCTGGGTGCAGAGCGCAGCGAGCCCCTTCGTGATGAGGATGATGACCTGCTGCAGTTTGCCATCCAGCAGAGCCTGCTGGAGGCGGGCACAGAGGCAGAGCAGGTGGGCTGCAGGCTGGGGCCGGGCCCTGGGCGTGGGCCAGGGTGGCAGAGGTGACAGCTCAGGGCTCTGGCTGCTACAGGTGACTGTCTGGGAAGCCCTGACCAACACCCGGCCTGGCGTCCACCATTCCCAGGCCGCGGCCTACGAGGAGCAGCTTCAGCTGGAGCGGTGAGCTCGCTGGGACCTACCAGGGCCAGGTCTCAGCCCTGCCCTGCCTTGCGCGTCCTGCCAGGCCTGGGGGCTCTTGGCCGGTGGGGGGTAGGGAGCAGGGAGGTGCTGGCCGCAGGATCCCACACCCTCTTTGAGGCCACGCTCCATCTTGAGGGCTGTCCAGCAGGGAGGGCGGCAGGCATGAAGCCTGAGGAGACAGAACCCTGCCTTGTCTCTTCTCTCGGGTCTTCCGGTCCCAGCCTCCCTGCCCTTATCTGCGCCCTCCACAGCTGTGGCCCAGCCCCCGTCCCCTCCCCAGCCTTAGGGCTCACGGGTCTGCTCTCCCCTCTCATGCCTGGCCTGGAAGGGCCCTCCAGGAAAGCCTGCGGATGTCCACAGAGCCTGGGGGTCCGGGCTCCCTGCACCGGGCGCCCCCATCCCCGGCCCCCCCCAGCTTCGAGGAGCAGCTTCGCCTGGCCCTGGAGCTGTCCTCGCGAGAGCAGGAGGAGCGGGAGCGCCGGGGGCAGCAGGAGGAGGAAGACCTACAGCGGATCCTGCAGCTCTCGCTCACAGAGCACTGAGCCGCCGCCCTCGGGAGGGCATCCGGGCTGCTCCCCCACCCACTTTTGTAATTTATTTATTTATAAACACTCAGCTGCTGGGCTCAGGGGGCCTGGAGCCCTAGATGGGGGGAGCTGGCCTTGAGACCAAGAAGGAAATAAAGAGACCCCAGCAGCAGGCTTGCTCTGCTCAGTGTGGGGTGGGGCTGGGGGGGCCGGGGCGGGGGGTGTACCAAGGCAAGACACTGTGGGTGATGGCCTTGGGGCTTGGATTTGAATCCTGACCGTGGTCCCCTTGGCCTGTTTCCTCAGCTTTAAATGAGACCCCCTCCAACACTCAGGGCTGCTGGGAGGGTAAGATAGCCGACAGGTGTCAAGTGCCCTCACGGGGCAGGTGCTCCGTGAGCATCAGTTCCCCTGAGGCCCATCGCACCTTCTGGAGACCCGCAATTCCCCGATTCGGGAAGGGCAGAGGCTGGTTCTCCAGCTAGCTCGGAGGCGGCGCCCCCGCAGACCAGACCTGGGTTCCTGCCCCTACCTACCTGGCAGGTTCGACTGCAGTGACATTAGACAAGTCACTTCCCTTTGCCGTGGCCCTGAACCTGCTCAGCTCCGCCCAGCTTACCTCCAAGGTGGCCCCGAGGACCCCTTGTGAGCCTGTGGGTTTGTTCTAAATCTAGCCTGACACCCCTCAAGCCGAGTGGAAGTGCCAGGACCAACCAGCCAAAAGAAATAAGTCTGGGTGCGTCCACTTAAGACCCACCGTGCCTGGTCCTCTCCCCTGCCTCCCTGGGCTCCACCTCTGCGGGGTAACAGAATGGTTGAGGCCCAGAGCACAGCTCAGGTGACCCAGCCGGGCGGAGCCGGGGACTGGGGCGGGGGCGCCTCATGGGAGGAGGGACAGAACCCTGGAGCTCTACGTAGGCTTCCTTTTCCCGCCGCGGAGACCCGGCACCTCACCTGCGCCCCGCCCCCGGCCCCGCCCCCAACGTGCCTTGAGGCGGAGACGCGGAGGGAGGGGCGGTGGCCACAGCGTGCGGGCTCCGCAGCCCGGGCTGGACGTGTCTGGCCCTTTAAGGTCCGCCCCGAGGAGGTGCCAGGCCCTGGTGGCGCCGGACTCTCCTTCCTGGTCCTGCGGGGCAGGGACCGTCTGTCCGCGGGGCCGAGGGAGGGCGTCGCGCCGTCCCGGCCTAGGGGCCCCCGGCCTGGCCCCATGGCCCTGGTCACAGTAAGCCGCTCGCCCCCGGCCAGCGGCCAGTCCACGCCTGTGGGGCCCACGGTGAGTCTGGCTTGGCTGTGGTCCTGCCCACGCAGTTGGCTGCCAGTTGGGCCTGGGGGAGTGCTTGCTGCCCACGGGCAGCCGCCCCTCAAGCCTGGGGGTGTGCGGAGGGGACCTTCACGTCTCAGGCTGGAGCGGCTTAGGGGAGATCTTGAGGCAACCAGGAACTCGGACCAAGGCAAGATCCAGAGCCCCGAGCGCCCGCGGAGGCCCTACCCCGTTCTGGGCCCAGACCTGGGCCAAACCCTCAGGCATCTCCAGCAGCGCTCCCCCTCCCTTACCTCTGAACCTGGGCCCGGCTCCGCCAGTGTCTCCACGTTAAAAGTGGACTGGAACAGAAAAGGATCTGACACCGTTTCTGGTTCCTTTCCCCACTGTGGGGGGGGGGGGGGCGGGAGAGGGTAAGGAACGAGGGAGGGCAGAGAGGAACGAGGGAGGAGGGCGGAGTTGGGGGAGGGTGAATTCTGCACTCCCAACCCCAGCACCCTGAACGTGGGGAGGAGTCCTTTCCCATCACTTCACTCTGCCCTGGGGGCTGCCTTCTCAGCAGGACCAGGTGTCCCAGCGCAGAAGCCGGCTCCAGCGAAGGTGAGCACCTCTCCCCACACACACACCTCCATCCAGCCACCAGGCTTGGCCACTGCCTTCTAGGAGGACTTGCAGCCAAAGCCCACTACTTAGTATGTGGGGGCAGAGTTGCTAGTGGGCACGACTGGCTGCCTTTGCTTCCATCTTCCCCCAGTCAGTTGAGGCTTCTTCATCCACTATCCTGGACCTGGCTCTGGCCAGTGGTCCTGCGTTATGGGGCAGGATAGGACACCTGGGTCCCCACCAAGTTCACAGTTATTTCTTGAGTTAGTCAGATGGGAAGGGAAAGTTGGGCTCGAGGCTTGAGAGCCTCCAAGGCAGTGGTTCCCCGAGCACTGAGGTGGCATCACCTGGGAACTGGGTAGGGATGCACCTTCTCAGGCCTCCACTCCAGACGTGCTGACTCTCTGGGGATGGGGGCCAACACCTGATTTAACAAATCCTCAAGGCGGTTCTGGGGGTTTGGCTCCCCCGTCCTGAGGGGTGGGATGGGCCATCACCGTGTCACTTTTCCCCTGCTTCCCTGCCAGGCAGAGCTTTGCAGTACTCCGAGGGGCTGTCCTGGGACTGCAGGATGGAGGGGATGATGGAGATGCCCCCAGGCCCAGCCCGGAACCAGCAGAGGAGCCCCCCGGGGAAGGGCAGCCTCACGGGGACCAGACAGACAACGGGCACGGACCCCCGAGTCCTGGCAAGCAGGAGCAGAGTCAACACCTGCACCTCATGGTGGAGCTGCTGAGGCCACAGGACGACATCCGCCTGGTGAGGGCCCCGTCCAGAGCCCTCTGGTCCCCCGAAAGGGGAGAGAGCCACTCCTCAGGTGGGAGGGGAGAGTGGAACAGAGCCAGCATGTGTTTGGAGAGCCTGTTTGGAGAGCCGTGGTGTGAGGGCAGGGGGCACCCTGGGGAGCGTAGAGGTTACCTAAACCATGATGACTCTGCTGTTTCAGCTAGAGTTTTAACAGGCCGAGGTGGTGTCTTCAGGTCTCTGGAGAGAGCTGGGAGAGGATGGGGAGGTTTGTCCCACGTGAGCCTATAGGGCAAGATTAGGACCAAGAGTGGGGAATTACCCAGAGGCGGGTTTCTGTTCAACCAGCACAAGACCTTCCTGACCGTGTGAGGTGTCCACAAAGGGACTGGTGCTCAGGGGGGCCTGCTGAGCACCCACCGTGGGCTGGTGTCCTAGAAGGGCCCCTTGGGGATGGGACACAGGCGGCAAAGTGAGAACCTGGATGCCTGTGGAACATCTCACTGTCTACAGCAAGATGGGAAAAACAAGACACAGTCAGTCTTTTGTAAGGCAGAATTAATTCCACGGAAGCACCGTCCTTCATTGTGAGATTGGGTCCTTAATATTTCTTTGGTAACAAACATTTCTTGAATCAAATTATGGTAATGGTAACTGGAAAGGTATTTTTTAAACTTCCTTCCTAGCAGGAAGAAAAAAAAAGGGTGATGTCATGCCCACGCTCCCCTTTTTTTCCCCCACATACATCCCCTTTGAGAAAACTCTTTATTAATGGACCATGAAATCCCAAAGCTGGGAACCACTAGACTGTAACCACTGATCTGGTATCTGTGGAGGGAGGGGTGGGTACAGAGGGAACAGGTGGAGGTCTGCTCCAGACCCAGATGTGTGTCGGGTGGGGGTGGGGAGAACAGGTCCCCTGGGCCACTGCAACCCCAGGCTTCTTCCTTCCCATCTTCCCCAGGCAGCCCAGCTGGAGGCGGCTCGGGCCCCCCGGCTCCGCTACCTGCTGGTCGTTTCCACCAGAGAAGGTCTGAGTCAGGATGAGACAGTCCTTCTGGGCGTGGACTTCCCTGACAGCAGGTGGGAGCAGGGGGAGGAGGAACAGGAGGGCCCCGTGGGGAGGCACTGGTACTGATGGACAGCCACTTGCCCTATGTCCCTGACAGCTCCCCCAGCTGCACCTTAGGCCTGGTCCTGCCTCTCTGGAGTGACACCCAGGTGTACCTAGATGGAGACGGGTAAGAGATGGCACCTGGAGGGAAGGGAGAGGAGACAGCAGGGCCAGAGGGTGAAATAGCCAGGTGTGATGTATGCCTGGGGGCTTGGTACTGGGGAGCAACTGCAGAACTCCAGGCTGGGCCTACTCTCAGCTCCACCGAAGATCCACTGGGTGAGCCTGGGCAAGTCACCTAACTTCTCTGGGCCTCAGCTGCCCCATGTCTGTAAACAGGGCTCATTTTGAAGCTCAGACGATGTGTACATGTTCTGAGGACCAGCCTGGTCAGGTGACTAATTGGCAGGCCTCTCGGAGGCACTGTTCTAGAGCCAGGTCCCACCCCACCGGGTCTCCCACAGGGGCTTCAGTGTGACGTCCGGGGGGCAGAGTCGGATCTTCAAGCCTGTCTCCATTCAGACCATGTGGTAAGGGGCGTGGCTCCACCGTGGCTGCAGGGGCCAGGGAGGGTCGCTGGGAGGACGACTGTGTGACCGGCCTCCCCACTGTCCCAGGGCCACACTCCAGGTGTTGCACCAGGCGTGTGAGGCGGCTCTCAGCAGTGGTCTTGTGCCAGGGGGCAGTGCCCTCGCCTGGGCCAGCCACTACCAGGACAGACTGAGCTCTGACCAGAGCTGTCTCAACGAGTGGACAGCCATGGCCGACCTGGAGTCTCTGCGGCCTCCCTGCGTGGAGCCCAGCCGGTCAGTCCGGGGAGGGGGCTTGGGGGGAGGCACACGGCAAAGAGGGGAAGGACCCTGCACTGACAGGCTCTGGTTCCAGACCCTCAGAGCAGCAGCAGATGGAACAGGCCATCCGGGCCGAGCTGTGGGAGGTGCTGGATGCCAGTGACCTGGACAACGTCACTTCCAAAGAGGTGGGCCGGGTGTGGGGGTAAGCGGGGAGCTGGGCCCTGGGTGGGGGCCCTCCGGCTGGGTGCCAGAGTGGTCCTCTCCTTGGAGCCTTCCCCTTTAGCTCTCCTCCTGTCTGAGCTGTTCCCACGTGCCTGGCCTCAGCTTCTCTGCCACGATGGGACACAGTACTGACCTCAGAGGCCCCAGAGGGGAGGCTGGGGCATAAGAGCCTTGTGAGGTGCCCCAGCCTCGCCTCCCCTGCCTGCCTGCAGATCCGCCAAGCCCTGGAGCTGCGTTTGGGATGCCCTCTCCAGCAGTACCGTGACTTCATCGACAACCAGATGCTGCTGCTCATGGCCCAGCAAGATCGGGCGTCCCGCATCTTCCCCCACCTCTACCTGGTGAGCTGCAGGCTGGGGGTGGGAGGGGGGGACGGCCAGAGCCGGCAGAGACCGAATGACGGGCTCTCCCTGTTCCCAGGGCTCAGAGTGGAACGCAGCGAACCTGGAGGAGCTGCAGAGAAACAGGTGGGGTTTCCAACCCTCTCAGGACTGCCCAGCCTCCGTCTTCCCCAAGGAGAGACCTGGCCAGAAACTCCCAGAACCCTCTCCCAGCCGCTAACTCTGCTTTCAGCTCTGCCCCGGGGCTGCTCCCCTCCTGTGCGCTCAGGCCCGGACAGGCTGGTCTGCTGGCAGCTCCCTGGCCCCCTCTCCCCAGCTCTAAGGCAGAAAAGCCCCTCTCTGCCTGACCACGTCTCTTGGAGAAGGAAGGGCCCCTCTCCGGCTGCCTGCTCCTGACACTTCAGTTCCTTGTCCACCATGGGCCTTCAGCAACCCCATGACAAGGGCCATAGGTTTTAGCTATTGCCCCTCCAGCCGGCCTAGCTGAGCTCAAAAATCCTTCTCTGGGGACTTCCCTGGAGGTCCAATGTTAAGACTCTGCACTTCCAATGCAGGGGGTGTGGGCCAGGGAACTAAGATCCCACATGCTGCACAGTACAGCCCCATTTCCCGCCCCCCCCCCCAAAAAAGGCCCTCTCTAACTGACTTCTGATGATAAGATAAGATAAGGGCTTGTGCTGCAGATAGCCCGCAGCTACCTGGAAGGCGGGGGCAGGTAGGGGAGGACAGTCCTCAAACCCAGTGGGGTAAGCCGATTTGCTCAAGGTCACAGTCACCCCCTATCCCCACTGGGACTAGACCACACCCCAGCCCTCAGCACCGGGAACGCGAAGCACCCAGCATGCATTGGCCCCACCTCATCCTGGCTCATGCCTGGGCTGCAGGGTGAGCCACATCTTGAACATGGCCCGTGAGATCGACAACTTCTACCCCGAGCGCTTCACCTACCACAACGTGCGCCTCTGGGATGAGGAGTCGGCCCAGCTGCTGCCCCACTGGAAGGAGACACACCGCTTCGTGGAGGCCGCCAGGTGGGGCTTTGCTGCCCCGCCGCCCGCCACACCTCAGCCACCTGCCTGCCCTGCCCTCCACTTTGCTGGCCCCAGGGCCCTCCCCCTCTTTCCCCTCTGCTCTGGGCTGCCCTGCCTCCACACAGCACAGCGACAGGGCGGGGAAGGGGAAGCTGACCGCGTGTGGCCTCCGCAGAGCGCAGGGCACCCGGGTGCTCGTCCACTGCAAGATGGGCGTCAGCCGCTCGGCTGCCACAGTGATCGCCTACGCCATGAAGCAGTATGGCTGGAGCCTGGAGCAGGCTCTGCGCCACGTGCAGGAGCTCCGGCCCATCGCCCGCCCCAACCCCGGCTTCCTGCGCCAGCTGCAGACCTACCAGGGCATTCTGACTGCTAGGTATTCGGTGGGGGGACAAGGAAGGGGGCGTGCGGGTGGCCGCTGGGGGTGGCCGCTGGGTCACCAAAATTGACTCAGGCCCCCCCCCTCGTAGCCGGCAGAGTCATGTCTGGGAGCAGAAAGCAGGTGGGGCCTCCCCAGAGGAGCCCCTGGCCCCCGAGGTCTCTACACCGTTCCCACCTCTTCAGCCAGAACCGGGGGGCAGTGGGGAGCTGAATGCCGTGGGGTCAGAGGACAGCCAGGCAGCCCCAAAAGAAGCGCCTGGGTCACGGCCCCGTATCAACCTCCGTGGGGTCATGAGGTCCATTAGCCTCCTGGAGCCACCCTCCGAGCTGGACAGCCCCTCCGGCGATGCTGACCTGCCAGAGGTGAGGCTGCGGCCACTGGAGGAGCTGGGCTGAGGCAGGGTGGGGGCCAAGAGGAGGAGGGGGCGGGTGGCGGGAGGGTGAGAGAGTCCAGGACTGAGGCTTGGCTGGCCCTGAGCAGGGGGCTCCCGAGCAGGCGGCCATGCCCTGGTCTGCTCCTTTTCATCCCCTCAGCAGCGGAGGAGACACAGGGTGGACAGGTGAGCCCCGCTCTCCACGGGAGCGGGAGCGCAGCCTTGGGACAGGGCCATCTGGTGGGCGCCACGGCCCAACAGCCCTAGGCTGGTGGCTGCAGGCAGCTCTCAGCCTGACGAGGGGACTTGCTTCCTGAGGCTCAGGGCTGCCCAGACTTGGGGGAGCATCCTCTCCAGGCCAGGAGCTGCACAACCAACTGCTGAACCCAGACGGTTATGGACGACCTCAGCTCCCCCTCCCAAAGCAGAGGGGCAACCCATTGAAGGATGGGGTGCAGAGTGGTCACAGCATTCACACAGCCAAAGTTGCGGCTGGAGAGCTGAGCACTCTTACTCTGCTGAGAGTGGCAGGGCACGTGTGTGAGACCAGAAGCTGGCCCCTGCCTTGCAGTCAGCTCATGCCCCTCTGCAACTTGAGGCCAAGGTGGCTGACCCGGAGGAAAGAAAAACAGCTCATCTCACAGAGGAAGGGGACATATGGGAGAGGCTTCCTGGAGGAGGTGGCACTGGGTGTGGAAGGCTGGGGGGAATAGATGGTTGATGGGGGGTGTCAGTGTTCCTAAAGGCAGGGTGTCCTCACTCAGCACCCAGCTCAGGGCCTGGCATGGAAGATGTGTCTCTTGTGGCACACAGGACGGGCTGTACAAAGCAGTGGGGGCAAGAGGAGGAGAGGGGGCTAAGAAGGGCTGCTGGGGGCCACTCGGGGGCAGGTGAGGAGCAGGAGGCCTGGGGTGCTGCCTTCCCTCCTAGGGAAATCTGACCTGTCAGTAGCTCAGTGTTTCTGTATTCACTCAACAGACATTCTGCATCTACCCTGTTCACGCCCAGCCCTGGAAAGACTGCCCCCTGACTCTATAGTCTCACTCTTCCAGGTTTTCTCTTCAAAAGAATCTTCAGATGAGGAGCCTCCCCAGCCCTTCCCTCAGCCCTCAAGTGCCAAGGGAGGCCGGCAGGTCCGCAGGGGGCCTTGGCCTGCCCTGAAGTCCCGCCAGTCGGTGGCAGCCCTCAACAGCGCCGCCCTAGTGGCCAGCCGGACCCGGGCCTTCCAGGAGCAGGGGGAGGCCGGCTGTGCATCCACACCCAGGCACCAGAAGATTGTAAGGCAGGCCAGCGTGGATAGCAGTGGGGAGGAGGGCGAGGCGTGAGCCCTCACGTGTGCCCATGCCCCCTTAGACACAAGTCGAGGCGCCCGAGCACAGCTCCTGGGGCGAGCACCCCTCAGTCCTGCCAGTGTTCACATTCCTCTTAGGAGGAGGCCTCAGGCTCCTGTCACTACAGCCTCAGCGCCTACAGCCTTAAGTCTCCCACCCATGTCCACCTCTCCAAGGGCTCAAGATTTTCTCCATATTTGGGGATATGGTAGAGACTGAAGGTGCCTTTGCGGGCAACAGTACCCTAGCTTCATTCTCAACTGCTGCCTGAAACACACACTTGAAGCCACAGATTTAAAAAACAGAGTTTCCTGGTGCAGAAAGGCTCAGGCTCCCTCCCTCTCCCACTCCCATCTGCCTCATCCCCCCAGCCCCGCCATTTCATTCCTGGGGCCCTCCAGAGAAGCAGTGGCCCCTCGCCTGCCCCCCCACTCCGCCCCCACCAAGGCCGAGAGTAAACTCAGTCCTCAGTGCCTGGACCCCTCCAATGGGGCTAGCGGTCGGCCTCGCTCACACGCCCTGTAAGCAGCCTGAGTTTGCTGCTGCCCCAGCGCCCTCACCAGCACTGCACTGGAGCCCAGGGCACTAGGCCAAAGAGAGTCTTCTTTGTGCTTCATGGCCTCTGGCCAGTTTTCCACAGTCTTAATAGTATCTCGCTTTGTACTCGGAAATAAAAAACATTTTCATACCATTTTCAATTTTATGATAAAGCCTGTCAGTCCACTCTTTCGCTGGTTACACAAGGAGTCTGGCCTTTCATTACCCCTTCCAGTCTCCTCACAGTTCCCAGGTATCTCGTGACAGGCCCATGTGGGCAGTGGTGTGTTTGGGGTGGGGTGGGAGGAAGAATGGGGAAGAGATGAGAGGAGGCGGGAGCTATCTCCCTCATCTCCCAGGGCAGGGCCTGGGTAAATGCTAGCGGCACACCCCCTCAGGCAGGTCAGCAGGGGAACAAGTCTGCACTGGGCAGCAGGTGCTCGACGCTGTTGGGGCAGCGGAAGGGAGTTACTTACGCAGAAGTGGAAGCTGCCAATGCCTATCTGGACAGGACCGAGCCTGTCCCGGAAACTGAGGTTCCTTTCAGACACTTGCTGCTAGTTCCTGAACACACTTTGGGTCCCAAGAATCTTCCTGCTACAATGCAAGAGAGCCTCATTTTCCAAGCCAGCCCACCACTGCCAGGGAAGAAGGAGCCTTGACGGGCCCTTCTCTCTGCCGAGGGGTTCTTTCTGTGCAGTTACAGTGTTCAAGAAGAGTAGGCAGGTCCATCGTTGTCACTTCTCTCCCTGCTTCCCAAGATGATATAACACGGTGCCCTATAACACTAGTTTGGTTGGGGGCGGGGAGTGGGCGGGTGCAACTCCTTCCCTCGCAGCAGACCTCACAGATCCGAGCTGGTGGCAAATGTTCTTGTTAAGTGAGATGTCATGCTCAGTTCTAGAAGTGAATCTCTCACCCAGACCCTCGTTGGACCCCCAGCCCTGCTCTAACCCTGGTGGACAGAGACTTGGGTTGTAGCCCTAGCTTTATCACTTGCATGTTACTTCACCTTAAGTCCCTGTTTCTTTCTGTAAAACTAAAGGATTAAACTAGGAGATCCCCATGCTTCCCTCTCCTGCTTTGATATTTTAACAATACACGTCACCTATACATTGACAGAATTCAGCCTCAACGTGCTCTCTAGAAGAGGAATCGTTTTCTGTGGGTAGCAGGTTCAGGGTCACAATGTGAGGTTCAGAAAAGCTAGATCTGACTCTTGATCCACTAGGCTGATCCACCCTACTGAGCTGTCTGCAGGCAACCCTGGTTCCCACCCAGGCTGCCCTTTCAGCAGTCCAAGGCCTAGGCTGGGGGGAAGTGGGGGTGACAATGTTGGGCCGGAAGCCAAGGCCAGGCCCTGCCCTCCTGAAGTCTGTGCAGCTGGGAAGGCAGGATTCAATCAGGAACTCAGAGCTGTGGAGCCCACTATAATCTACGGACTCTGAAAAGTAAGAATTCACCACCAACAAAAATTGGAAGGAAAATTATCTGTATCAAAAATGCAGATAAATGATTAAGAACTATATATGTACTGGGAGTTTCCTGGGGCCGAGTGGTTAGGATTCCAGGCTTTCACTGCTGGGGCCTGGGTTCAATCCCTGGTTGGGAAGCTGAGATGCCTCAAGCCAGGTGGCACCGCGCCCTACCCCCCCCCCATCCCCGTGCCAAAGAAAAAGAACTATATGTATAGATAAAGATCACACAAATTGCTAAAGGGGCAAAAAATACAGTATTAAAAAAAAAGATATGAAAATAATGTCTCCATCTGATCTTGCCCTCCAATCCTTCACAGGCAAACACTGTTACCAGCTTGAATCCCTCCAAAGACAATCCATGCTTAAGTCATCCAATATATTTGTATATTCTTTTTAAAATATAAATTAAATCATTATTATTAACATCCTGCATTTTGACAATTTTTTTCATATCACAGAGAGCTGCACATCAGTACAGTAAGCTCTGTCTAATTTTAAAAATAACCACACATATCCTCTTTAATGGAATCCATCATTATTTAAGTAGTCATCTATCAATGATTTGTTGTTTTGTTTCCAAGTAATGCCTAATTACTTTGTATACACTTTCTTTTTTTTTTTTTCATTTATTTTTATTAGTTGGAGGCTAATTACTTTACATCATTGCAGTGGTTTTTGTCATACAGTGAAATGAATTAGCCATGGATTTACATGTATTCCCCATCCCGGTCCCCCCTCCCACTTTGTATACACTTTCTTGTGCACACATGACCACTAATTTCATAGGAAGTATTTCTAGAATCGCTGAAGCAGAGGTTATGTGCATCTTTTTTATTGTTTTCATTTTTTAAATTTTATTTTTCTTTTAAAAAAATTTTATTTATTCTTGGCTGCTCCGCCTGGCATGTGGGATCCTAACTTCCTGACCACGGATGGAACCCACGCCCCCTGCACTGGAAGCACGGCGTCCTAACCGCTGGACCGCTAGGGAAGTCCCACTACGTGCATTTTTAATTCTAAAAGGCACTACCCTAATTTCCTTACCATAAATTGCACTAATTTACAGAGAATGGGAATGCCTGTTTATGTTCTTAAAGGCATGTCCAATCTGCACATCAATCATCTCTTATAAACCTAGTAACACTCTCAGAGGAGAAATGGGAGCTATTACAATTACCACCCTTTTAGAAATAAGGAAACCGAGGCCCGGTAGGTCCTGGGCCAGCTCCCACCTCCACACCGTTCTCCCTCCGGCCGGCCCGACTCGGCCCGGCCTGGGTCGAGTCACCAGCCAGGGCATCCCCTCCTCAGGATAAATTTTCAAACGGCAAGACGAAACGCTCCGAAGACCGCGACCCCACCTCTTCACCTCGCCTCCCAGACGCCTCAGAGCCGCGGCTACCAAGAGAAACTACCTTTCGGCCTCCACGGCCTCTCCTACGCCGGCAGCACCCAGGAAGGGCCCAGGCCGGCCGGGGAACCTGGAGGCTCAGAACGGACTGCGACGCTGGGGCGCCATCTTGCGTCCGTTCCTCTGGCCGTCGGGTGACAGTCTGGAAACCACATTTCCCAGTGTGCCTAGCGCCGCTGCGCAGGCCCGAAGAACCCCCCCCCCCCCCCCCCCCCCGCTTCCTTAGGAACCTTACCCTCCCGGGTGCCGGCGGCTGGACTCTGAGGAGGGTCGGTTGTCGGTCTCTCTGTGGTGCCCCGACGCCAGGACCGGGTCTATAGACTGTTGAGGGGACAAAGTAGGAGCCTGAGGAAAGGAGACCAGGTGGCCCTGCCTTCGGGCTGGGGCCAGCGCTTCCCAATTCTCCTCAGCCTCCGGGCCTCCTGGGGCCTCCGCGTTCTGAGGCGAAAGGACCCGGGTTGGCGAGACCAAGTCAAGCACTGGTCTGCGCGGCCCTGCTGGTCCCATTCAGCGCTTTGTCACCCCCTGCCAAGAGCCTGCGCCCCGCCGTCAGGTATTCCCGGGGCGCAGGCCGGTGAGTTGATGATTGGCGCCCCAGGTGAAGGTGCGGGTAGTATCCGGCAGGATAACGGACGCCCCCGGAGTTGGATTCCGCTCTGCCTGTGATGGATCGGGGACCCGCGCTCAGGGCTTCACGTCCCCCTCTGTAAAGTGGAGCTTGGCCTGGTACTCTTGCGCACATTGCCATTCCGTTGCAGAGCAGTTCCTGGCTCTGTGAGACCCAAGGAACATGTCCCTTTATCTCTGTGGGCCCAGGTTTCCTCTCTCTAAAGTAAGGAGGTTGAAGCAGATGATCCATAAGGTCTCGTCTAGCAGGTATGGGGTCATTGTCCCTCATTGCAGACCAAATGCAAAAAGGAAAAAAAAAGGGACCTGTATGGTTTGGGCAAGAAGAGCCAGAGACGCTTGGGTTTGTGACTTTGGGCAAAGTGGCTACATCTCTTGAGGCTCAGTTTCCTGATTTGCAAAACTGGGGGTAATGATAGAACCATCTCAGGCTTTTGATGGTTAAATGGGAGTGAGTTTTTAGCCTACCTGTAATAAGTGCTGTCCCCTGTCCCAGCCATCAGTTCTGATACTTTCAAAAATATTCCTTAGCCACTGTGAGAACTTAATTTTTGGAGTCATTTCCTCCTAGGCAGGATGGTTTTATAGGCTGATCCTGATGGGAAAACCTAGGCCTTCTTACCCAAGGCTGGATGCTCAGAGCCGGTATATCTCTTCCCTTCAGCCTCAGTACAGCACAGGATCACGAAGCAATCTTGAGTACCAGTAATGGACACTCCTTTGGCTCTTGTGGCTTTTGGGTCGTTCTTGGCTCTTCTTTTTCTGGGGCCCACTCTTCCCCAGAGATATTCCTCTCCCAGCTCTGACCCACCTGGGAGTAGGGAACTATGTACCACACCAACAGATTGTTGAGATCAACAGCTGCTGCAAAGGAATGAGGCTGGCTCAGCAGCACCATCTTCAGGCTGGCTTCTAGGCCTTTCCCTTCCGCAGGCCTGCCTAGGGCTGAACTTGTGCCAGGAGCTGATGCTGAAGTGGACCACTCAGAGCAGCTGTCCAGTGACCTGGGGAGTGGAGAACTTCTTTAGGATCTGGGATGGAGCTGTTACTTGAGGAAGGCAGAACAGAGAAGATTGAAGAGAGAATGGCTTGAGGACAGGACAAAGCCTCCCAAGTCTTGTTTAGATGTCCCCTGGGATCCTCTGTTGCTCACAGAGGATGTGGTCATCCTCTGAACAAGAAAACTGGGGAGAGGTTAAGTAGGTACGACCAAGGAAGGGATGGACCACAGCTGACACTCCATTTTCTCACTAGATGTGAGGTGGTGCAGGACGTCTGGAGGCCACAAGTGCTCCTTTTCCTGGAGATGTGACCCAAAGTGAGCTGTTACACCATCTTTCTGGTAACGTGTGCTCCCACGTGGGATCCTGCACTTCCTCTCTGCCCTGCTTCTCCAGTTTGCTCTACTCCACTGGCTGTAGGTAAGTGCCTGCTGAGTATTCACTACAGGATTCCCGTGTAGTGAAGTGCCCCAGGGAGTCTTCATTACTCCAGACCTGGTGCAGCTCAGGGCCTGCCTCCATCAACCTACTGAAGGGTCATGATGATCTATTGCAATTTACAACAGCTGAAAAGTCTTATGACTTTCACTTTCCCATCTGCGGGATATTGAGTTTTTAGGTTTAGGTCACAGAGCCAGTGGTAGCACTGAGACCAGGGGTCTTTCTACAGCCTTGGCTGTCATTGAAGTCGTGCCATCTGCCTCCTGATAAAGCCACAGTCCGAGGCTAACCTGCAGTTAAACCAGAGCTCTCCTTCCTCCCATTTCAGCCAGAATTCCCAGTCCATATTCCCCAGTTCTCCAGCCCAGCTTCTCTGTCATTGAGCATATTTGACCAGAGCCTCTCACTCTCACATCCTAGCAAGTTGCTGACTTGTTCCCATGGCAGCAGGTCTTACCAGTGCTGGCACTCCTTTCCTTTCTCTGCCAGGCTTACTGGTTCCCAGGCAGTGGCCCTGGAGGGTTAGGCCACTTTAGGGAATTCTGTATCTGGGCTTGAGGACCAAGAATACGAAAGCTGTCTTCCCAGTGGGTGGGGAGGCAAGTTGGTAACATCTGCCCAGTGGGATTCCCTGGCCTGGGCAGTGATGCTACCCCCACCCCACTGGCACCCCTCAGTGAGCCTTGGAGGTAAAGTTGGGGAGGCAAGAGTGGCAGGGAGGGGCATACAGAGGAAGCCCAGGCTAAAGCAAGGCCCCACATACTGGCCTAACTCAGGCCAGACATAATTGTGGAGGTTAGGCGACAGTTTGGGTGAAGGAGGCTGGCATGGGGAAAAAGAGCTGATTATATGCACCCCACGTTATGGATCTTCACACAGCCTGAGACGGTGTGAAGCTGGGCATGTCTTCACACCACCTGTCTCCGCAGGCCACACTCTGCTATGCAGCTCATCTCTTGGTTTGGAGAACTGGCTCTGAGACCTCCGAGTTTCTCCATAGCTTCCACTCTCACTGGTGGCTCAGCCCAATGCATTGTCCAGTTCTGGGCACAGTCTGATTGTCTTCATGTCCCAAACGTTCCTGTGCTAGACTGAGCTCTGCCTCTTGAGAATGCCCGCTCTCCTGCTGACCCCAAGCTTTTATTTCCTAAACAGAAATGGGAAGTTGGGGAAACTGGGAGGCTGAGTGCCATGGGGATAGAGTAAGTGGTTTGGGGGCAACAAATAGAATTATTTGAGGGTCAGTGGGATGACTGATCTGGTTGGCAGAGATCCCCCAAACCCCATTACTGCTAGGTGCCCTGTATGGCAGGTGTGGCTGGCAGGAGCAAGGCCTACAGGCTCTCCCTGCAGCCAGATATCCTTCTGGTGGTCCCTGCTGCAGCCTCCCCCTCACCTCAGCCCTGCTTTGTCATCTCTTCCCTCTCCTCCCTCCACCCCTGGCCCACCCATGCCTGAGCTGCTTAGGAGGGCTGAACTTGGCCTGCATGCCGCAGGACTGGTGCTCTCAGGCAGATACTTGATTCCTCACCTCTTACAACGGAAAAAGGACTCCGAAAATAGAGGAGGTTAGAGCAAGAGGACAGAACTACCTGAAAGCCAAGTGCAAAGGAATCAGGTTGAAGCGATGCTACAACCTGAAGGTTGTAGTCCAGAGAAGGACTCAGGATACCAGTCAGCTCAAAGGGCCTGCTGGTCTCGGGGATGGGTTGTGGGGCCAGGTGAGGCTGGTCTAATGGAGAACTCTGTTTCAAGTTGGACCATTTGACAGCCTGAGGGTCTGTGAAGGATTCATTTGACAAGAAGACAGGGTTAAAACTAAACCTATTCCTTCTTCTTATAATTCTTCTCTTCAAGCCTTGAGCTTCAGACTTTTCTCTCCTGTTGACTTTCCCACCTCCTCTATTTATACGTAGCTGTAAATCTCAGGGTGATAACCCTTACTTTTCACATTTAATCAGTTATCAAATTCTGTGGGTCCTCCACAGAACAGCTGCCTTTTATTCCCACTTCCTGTACCTAACCCAAGCTCCCACTCCTAGACTACCGTAATAGCCTCCTAACTGTGATGCCCGATTCCCTTTGGTCTGTCCAGAGTGTCCTGACTAGACTAGCCTTTCAGGAGAATTGCATCACTTCACATGTTACTCCCATGTTTATTGCCTTCCATGGTGCTCCTGTTGCTTGCCAAGTACAGTACACACTCTCTGTTCTTTTGTTTAGGGCTTTTCCCAGTTTGGCACACAGCCTACCTACCTTTCTGACTTATCTCCCAGAACGTCCTGGTATGCACCTTTGACTCAGATCAAACTAGATTACTCACTGTTTCTTGAAAACAATTTTCCTCCCCTTAACCTTTGTTCCTGCTGTTCTTTCTATCTAGAAGGGTCCTCTGTCACGTTCATTTATTAATTTTAAAATATTTATTGAGGGACTTCCCTGGTGGTTCAGTGGCTAAGACTGCGCTCCCAATGCAGAGGGCCCGGGTTTGATCCCTAGTAGGGAACTAGATCCCACATGCCACAACCAAGACCCAGTGCAGCCAAATAAATAAAAGAGTTTTTTTTTTTAATGTATATATGTATTTATTGAATACCTTTTTATTTTGAACATTTTTAGATTTAGTTGAAAGTAGTAGTACAACGAACACATATCTAAATTCACCAGTTGTTAATCTCCTGCCACATTTCTTTCTTTTTGTTCCCTAGATTCACTAAAAATAAGTTTCAGGCATTAAGAGACTTCATCCCTAAATATTTTGGCCCATATCTCCTAAAAATAGGATATTTTCTCATATAACCACAATATCCTTTTTAAAAATTGTGGTAAAATATACATAACATGAAATTTACTATTTTAACCATTTTAAGTATATAATTGTGGCATTAAATTTCTTTACAATGCTGTGCAACCATCATCATTATCCACTTCCTGAACTTTTTCATCATCCTGAAAGGAAACTGTACCTAGGAAATATTCCATCTTCCCCTGGCAACCTCTGTCCTACTTTATGTCTCTATGAATTTGCCCATTTTCAGTAAGTGGAACCATGTAAGTAGAACCATACAATATTTGTCCTTTTGTGTCTGGCTTATTTCATTTAGCATGATGTCTTCAAGTTTCACCCATGAAGCATTATCAGGATTTCATTCCTAAGCAATACTCTGTTGTATGTATAGATCACATTCTGTTTAGCTACTCATCTGTTGAGGGACACCTGGCTTGTTTCTGCTTTTTGGCTGTTGTGAATAATGCTGCTATGAACACAGGTGTACAAGCATCTCTTTGTACCTGCTTTCAGTTCTTTCAGGTATATATCTAGAAGGGGAATTGCTGGGTCATATGGTAAGTCTATGTTCAATTTTATGAGGAACTGTGGAACTATTTACCATAGCGACCAAGAAATTTCACAATGCAGTATTATTATCTAGGTTAATTAGGCCATAATAGCATTTCTCCAAATATCCCTAAAATCTAGTTTTCCTGCCTTCTTGTTTTTCATGACATTGATATTTTTGAAGAATCTAAGCTAGTTTTCTGGTAAAATGCCCCTTGATTTAAATTTTCTTTGAATGTTTCTTCACAATTAAATTCAGGTTAAACGTTTTTGCAAGAATACTACATGAGGGACATGTTCTCTCTGTTGCATTGTTTTGGTCATTTAATGTTGCTTTATCTCATTAATGTTGATGCTGAACCAAGACACATACAGAAGTACTATGAGAGGAAGAAAAGACAGATAGGAGACAATGAATCACACTTTTAAACTGCTGACAAAGGGAGAGTTTCAGTCTAAAGTTCTATATCCAATGAAAATGTCCTTTAAAATGAAAGAGAAATAAAAACATTTTCAGAAAAATGAAAGATAAGAGAATTTATTGTCTGCCGACATGCACTATGAGAAATACTATGAAATTTTTCATGCTGAAAAGAAATTTGGAAACTTGGATCTATAGGAAGGAATGAAGAGCCACAGAATTGATAATTCTGGGTAATTATAAAATAATTTTTTTTCTTTTCTTAATTTCCATAAAAGACAAATAATTGTTTACAGCAAAAGCAATATAAGTGTAAGGGGCAGCTTATGATATATGTAAGAATAAAATATATGATAATAGTACAAAGGATGGGAGAATAAATGAAATTAAAGCTTCTTTTGTGAAATGTGTTCAATTACACTGTGATAAATTAGTGATACATGTTATAATTTCTAAAACAATCATTAAAAATAATAAAAATGATAAGATATAGCTAAAATCCAAAGAGGAAATAAAGTATAATATTAATGATATTTAATGTTGAATTATAATGTGTAGCAGGTATCTATATTAATAATGAATACTGTTAGATATATGCTATTAATTATATATGATATTAATATAGATTTAATATTCAGTTCCTCAGAAGTCAGGAAAAGAACTAAGGAACAAAAGAACATATGAGGCAAATAGAAAAC